CAGTCAGAAACCAACTGGTCTCTTCTCCAAAGGCTGAGGCTCTTTGTCTAGGACACCTACTCTGCACCAGGCTGGACCTGTGGTAGACTCTGGCCTGGTCTCAGCACCCATGTGAGGAGGCTCCTGCCTGCCCAGGTCTTCAGAGGAGCTGTTAACTCTGTCTTCACTTCTGCTCAGTAGTGCACATCACAGCCCTGTGGCCATGTGAGCACCATGGGAAAGTGGCCAGGGGTAGCCTGGAGCCCAGGGAGGCTCGAAGCTGGGCTAAGGGGAAGAGCTGGCATGGGAAGAAGGGGGCAGCAGAGGAGGGAAAAAGCAAAGTGCCCTTGCACTGTAGGGTGACAGCATAGTACAAGACACCTTCCCTGTTCACAGTACCTGCAACCCCACAGAGGATGGCCCAGGATCACACAACCCACAAGATACAACGGAGCGCATGGTCCCAGACAGGGCAGATGATGGTGACACTATGGCTGTGCCAACCACTGGGTAGTCCCCAGTCTCCTGAGCAAGACCCATGACCATAACGAAACAACACAGATGCCCACTCTGCACTGTCTCCCACCGAGCACAGCACTGAGAGCTGCGTGCCTGAGCAGCTTAGGTCTGGGGTGAGGTCTAGAATGACCCTTTTCCACAGGTGGGGAAACTGAGGTTATCAGCAGTGTAGTGGTGGCCAAGTCAGTCAGCCCACCTCTGAGCCACACTGCCCACCATCCAAACTCCCTCCAACGAGGCCTCCTTTGGAAGTCCTGCTGTGGACCCTCCCCCCAGCCTAGTCACCAGGCTTACAGATGACCTTCATAGTAGACATTCTTGATGCTTTGGCCACCAAGCCTCAGACACTGGCCTGAACCCCTGCATATGAGACACTACTCAATCCTCCTGGCCACGCAGCAAGGGAGGCTTGCAACACTCCCAGGGTCTGGCTCTCCCTGCTGCCCCAGCCCAGGCCAGTCACTCAATGGGTCTGAGTCTGGGGCTCTATGTGCCCCCTGTCAGGTTCCAGAAGGACTGGGCAGCTTTCCCTTGGGTGTCTACGCCGCCCTCTGCTCTCCCACAGCAGGGCTCAGAGGGGTGGGAACGTGGAAGAGCCCCATGGCGGGGTGGGCAGGACCCTGGCAGGGGAGGAGCTAGGGCTCAGAACCAGCACTGCCAACTGAGTGTCATCTGCCCCTTCTTCACTTCCAGCACCAGCCGTTACCTCTCGTATCCCTCTCGTCTGCCTCCCCTCTCTGCTTTTGCTTTTCTCCTCCGGTTTCTGTCCTGGCTCAGAGTTAGGCTTTACACAGCTAGTTCCCTGAGCCAACAGCATCCAATTTCTAAAAACAACTTCTTCAAAGACCATCAAATTCTTTCATTGGCCTAAATCTTCCAGTGTGGGGAGACCAAACAGGATTCAGGAAAGGGCTAAACTCTCATGGGCGAGGAGACAGGGCCCTGAGCCCTGCCCTAGCCAGCTCCTGTCCCAAAAAATGTCCCTTGCAACCCTTGTGATACCTCGGCGAAACCCTTAGGCCCCAGGATGGAGTCTGTACACCTGGCCCAGCCATGCCACCCTGGTGACTTCCTGGCCCTGTAACGCTTTCCAAGAAAAGAGGCCTCAGGGTTGGCAAACCCACCCCAACCTCCACTCTTCACAAGCTTCCCAAAAGGGAGTTCTTCTGAACATCTAGCCTCAATCTTTCCTGCTGCTGGAAGACGCTCACCCTCCCTTTGAACTTGTTCCCGCTAGAGCCTCCTGGGAAGTCTCTACAATCTTTAGAAAAGCACTTTCTCACGTTGTCCTTGCCAACTCTGAATTTCAAAAAAATCAACAGGATGACAACAAAGACCTACACATTAAAAAAATACAAAGCCAAAACCACTCACTGAACAGAGTCAACTCTGTGGAATGGCGTGACCCCGACCTCGCTTGCTCCCGTGGCCCTAACACCAGGTGCTTCCACTCACAGCCCCTGGAGGCTTGGAGGACTGGGTGAATCTTTTCGTCCTCATGCCAATTTGCATACCATTACCCAAGAAGCCTTGCGCCTGGATTTCACTTTTGCAAATTCCTACCCGTTTCATGTCATAAATAAGATGGAAGACAGAAAACTAATAGAGCCCAGTGATGCATAATTCATGCCACGTCACCCTGTTGTGACAGATTTACAACAGCTAATACATGCAAACTAAGTTTACGCACTAAATGTGAAAATTAAGGGTGGGGAAGGTGGCCGCACGCGGGGTGAGCAGGGGAAATCCAGAGGCTCTGGGTGTCCAGGAACCCAGACAAGTTTCTTCTCGGTTGTGCTGAGTGGCAAGAAGCATTAGTGCTGGTCTTGGAAGCCAGTGCGGGGCCACAGGAGGCGCTGGAGTGGACACTGGGTGGGATTGCAAATGGCTGGCATGTACTTCGGGAAGCACCTTTGTGCTGTGATGCAGATGGAAGTCAAGTCCCTGTGCAGCTGTTCTGTGCCCCCTGAGCACACCTCCCTTGCACTTGGAGAAGACACTGCAGTCAGCCCCTTTCCCTGTGGGCTCGTCTTATGGACTTCACACCCCTAACTGCACTCCTCAGGCCTGGTCTCGCACACCAGGGCTTTAGGCCCAGAACTGCCCGCCCTGAAGAGCTTCTGTCCATTTAATTCTGTAACGGGCCTCAAGAAAGTCAAGGGGCAGCTGTGCCATGAGCTACGTTAGTCAGTCACAGACCATGACCCAGTGTGTGTGGAGGAGACAGGCTGCTCCTGGGGTTGGGGAGCAGGGGTCTAATGGAACGCACTGTCTCAATGAACCCTCACCAGGGCCCTACGGCAGGAGCAGGCTTGGGGTCCAAGCACAATAGCATCTGCCCTATGCTCCAGCCTGGTCCAGGCAGGGCTGGTAGCCCTGACCCCGGACTGGGCTTATGAGGCTCCAACTCCAATTTCAGGGGCCTGTGCCCTGCAGGGGGTGGGGCTGCCACGAAAACACCTTGAGGCTGGTGCCAGGTCAGGTCAGTGGGTCCCCAGCCCTAGAGTGACACAGGCATCCTATCCACTTCTGTCCCGTAGCTTCATGTGTCAGATCTCAAGTGCAACCTCCATCCTGCCGTGTAGATAGAGGTGGCCCCACCATGAAGAAGAAGGAGCCATGTCCTACCTGAAGGCTGCGTCCTGCCCAGCCCAGGACACAGGCAAACAAGGCAGATGTGACACAGAGTCTACGTCTCAGCAGTGCCATGAACAACCACAAAGGAGATATCAGCAAACAGGAACCAGCATCCGCCCAGCCATAAAGACCTGAGGCAGGCTAAGCTATCACTGGGGCAGAGGTGACTCACCTGGAGCTGCATGTCAGCATGACCTCACTGGGGAGGTAACGGTTAAGCTGTGACTGAATGACAAAGAAGGAACCACAGGGGACACAACACATTCTAGACTGGAGAACAATAGCAAAGGTTCCCAGTGGGAAGGAGCTGGATGTGTCCCAAGGCCACCACCAGGAGTAGGAGAAAAAACACATGGCTCCATCCACGGCCCATCTGTGCCACAGGCCCAGCCCATCTCCCAGCCATGTTGCAGGGATCTAACAGCATAATGACCTCACAGCCAGCCCCATCCCCCCCACCCCTCCCCATCTCACAAGTGGGGGACAGAGACCCCAGGCCACTCATGTCAGGGAGCAGCCTTGCCCTCACCAGGCACCCGGCCCCGGTTGAGTGTACCCCACACGCAGCAGGCCTGCTATCAACCTGACCCCAAGAAGTTTTTTTAAATTAAGATGCAACGATCATTCCCGCAGCCAGCTTCCCCTCCAGCGATCACAGACAACTGGATTAGACTTTGAAGGCGGTGGTCTAGATAATGAACACGAGGATGCAGTGTTGACACAGGCCCTCGCAAGCAGTATTATTATTTAATAGGCCTCACTTCTGCCTCCGCTGGGATCAAGGAGCCGCACAAGCTGTCAGTGGGCAAAGCGGGAAACCCAGACACGCAGCGTGCGCGCTGGCTCTGCCGGGTACGGCACAAGCAAAGTCAGGATGGCCAGCTGGGCAAGGGGCAGGGTCCCCCAGCTCTGAGGCCCCTGCCTCAGGAAGCTGTTCTCACCACCCAAGGTCATACACACTGCCAGTCTGTCCCTGGCCTGGGCTTGAGCATGGTGTTTTCTTCTGCCCAGACGCCAGCTTCCCCTCTTCTTCCCCTGGTCACACACCCCCCTCACCCACCCCCAGCTCGGGATCCAGCTCTAGAGAGTGCTTCCCACTCCCACCTTCCCGGGTCCTCCTGGACCTGGGCCTGCCCCTCCCAGGCCTCACCACATGGCTGAAGCTGGCAGCCCTGGTCTCTCCATACTGGACTCTGAGATCCCAAAGAGCAGAAGTCTCATCTCACTAATTCTGGTCCCTGAGCACGTTATACCAATGCTCGGAGATCAGGGATGCTGAGCGCACCCAACACCTGCCCACCATGACAGACTGTTAAAAGATCACCTGCAATTGCCACCAGTGAACCAGATATAGGGTAGACAAAGGTAAACAAGATACAATCCTTGACCTACAAAACACATTAGTGAAAAATGCAGGCTCATAAACTAATGGGACCTCTCCAGAGTGACATCTGATGGGGACAGTAAACAGAAGGCCAAGGCAGCTTCCTTCCTGCCAAGGCAGCAGGCATGAGAGTTAAAGACTTGGGATGCCTGTGCTCACCCTAACTCTGCATCTTTCTAGCTGGGTGGCTTTGGGCAAGTTCCTTAACCTCTCTGTGCCTGTTTCCTTATCTGTAAAGTGGGAATAGGACTCATTTCAGAAGTATCTTGAGGATTAAGTAAGTTCACAGAGGTACACTGCTTAAGCCCATACCTGGTCCAACTAAGCCCTCAATATATGTTGGTCATGATTACTTCCTGGGGGTGGGAGGAATCAGGAAAAGCTCTTTAGAGTTAATGGACATAGCTGGGAGCCTAGAGGGCACAGGAAGAGTCAAGGTGAACCAGGCAGATGGCCCCATGGCTGCAGGGTAGGGCTATACCTGAGTCTGCAGGGTGGCAGCATCCAGGACAGTGACCCGTGGCCCACAGCTGGCCCACACAGTATCCTCCAGGCTCAGTAGGGTGCGGACAGGCCCTGGCCCCACGGTCAGGCACACAGGGGGGCTCTCCAGGTCCCAGGGGACTCCTCCTGGAGGGAGAGGAAGACACAGGTCAGCAGCAGGGACCAAGGCCAGCAACGGAAGCCCAGCTGGCTCCACACACCCTCCCCCTTCTATGACCCTTTGCCATCATCTTGGCTGGTGGTGGCTGTTCCCTTCACCTCCAATTCCCACGATTTATGTCCCGCTGCCCAGGGGACCACTTTGAATTCTTCCCTCCCTCCCTGCTCCGCCTCTCCCTCTTCCCTCTCTTGCTGTCTCAGCCACTCCACACATCCATTCAGTAAGCACCTCCTCCAAGCCCAGCCACATGTGGGAGTTAGGCAGCTAGATCTGAGTGAGGTCCAGGCCCTGCCCTGGAGGAAACTCCTCAGGGCAAATGGCCAGGGCTGATCTAGTTGCCACCCAGTGTGCCAAGCACTGGAGCAGGCCGTACAAACACTGGGGGCCACTGAGATAGAGACATGAGCTCCGCCCCCAGGAAGCCCAGAGGACTTCTTGGGAGAGGCGACATCCACAGCAGGCCCTGCCATGGGGCAGTGTGATACAGGGAAAGCATCCTGTAACCAGAGTTGAGGGACTTGGGGCCTGTCCCTGCTTCTAACACCAACTTGCTAAGGGCGTGGAGCACATCTGCTGGAATTACAGGCGAGTGCTACACACCTAGTGGAGACTGAGTTTTTCTCTGAAGTTGAACCCCATACCACTCCAAACCCTGGGGGCTGCTCTGTCTTGTCAGGGTGCTGGGTGGGAAAGAGGGTTGAAGAAGAAGCTGGGGCCTGGCCCAGGGTGGCCTGTGTGGTAACACATCCTGGAGGGACAGGTGTAGTGGCTAGGGACCAGTGCCCTGCCCTCTCACCTCTCCACTTGTCCCCAGAGGAGTGCAGATCAGCCCACCAGACAACTTCCATTCTGAGCCAGCTGTGGGCACCACTGTCCCCAGAGCTGTATGGGCACCAAAGTATATGGGTAAGCCACTGCCTGGGGTGTGGTAGGGTGCCCAACCAGACTTCTTTCCTCTGCCCCAAGGCCAGGCCTGGCTGGTTTTCCCTCTCCCTACCCTCCCAGGTTCCCCTCATGCCCTGGTATAGACTCCCAACTCAGCTAAGAAGTTGGGGGATGGGGGACCCCTCAAACCCACAGACCACTCCTGCCAGCCCAGGACACGCAGGGAGCAGGCTGGGCCAGAGCAGTCAGGGGCTCTGAACTTCCATGTCAACTTGGATATTGGACCTCACCTCTCTGATCCTCAGTGTCCTCATCTGTAAAATGGGCATTATGGACACACGGACACGGACACACACACACACACACACACACACACACACACACTGCTGTGGAGATCACAAGGAGTCAAGGAAATGCCAAGGAAATGCATGTGCAGAACACGAGGCCCAGTGCTGGGCACACAGTTGGGAGCACACAAATCTGTGTGCCAGGCCCTCTTCTTACTACTTATTTCCCTAACTCCCCACCAGCCTGCGTGCTAGATACTGTTATTATCCCTGCTTTGTGACTGAGACACAGCAAGCTTAATTACCCAAGTCGCAGAGCTCCACAGTAGTTTCTGCTCATTGCTCCTATTGTCTGGTTACCAAACTCGGGTTGTAGATGCCACAACACGAGTCTGCTGACACAGGTTTTGACCACACTTAGCTAAGATGACAACAGAAACCCAACAGCTGAGAACTTGTGCAAAGCCACCAAGGGGTGACAGGTCAAGTGGCATTAGACTCTGTCTTAGCCTCCTCCTCCAAGTCCTATTGCCAGCTCTGTGGTTGGGACCCATGTCCAGGGCACCAAAAGGTGCACCCCACCAGGACACCGCAGCTGCAGCGGTGTAAGGCTTTGAGCGCCCCCCAGTGGCTGGAGATGACCAGACCTTTTAGCCAGAAGCTTGAGCTCCTATTAAGATGGTACCAGGACCCCTCCCAGGGAAGAAGCAGCTAGGGATGCTGGGATAACCCCCGAAGACTGGGAAGTGGGATCCACTCAGAGGGCCTGTCAGTGACAGACACCAGAGCCTTGCACCTGCCACCCTGGGTCCAGAACATCACTACGGCTGCCAGAGGCCGGGGCCAGGACCTAAAACCCCCGAGGGTCACGGGTATACTGACCACCCTGTCTCCTTATGCCGGGTGTCTCCAGAAATCCTCTATGAAGTCCAGATGCCAGGACAGAGAAACTGTGGTAACATTTAATAACTTTATATCAGAAAGGATGCTGGACAAAAGTCCCCAATTAGAGGCCCATAGTGTCATCCTGAGCAAGAGCTGCCCTCGCTGGGACTTGGGTTTTCTATGTACCACAAGGAGACAGAACTCTGTCCTCTGAGGTCCTTTCAGCCCTCACTTGACAGATTTTATGATTATAAAGGCAAGCACTGAGAGCTCCCCATGGGGACTCCACCCCCTCTGCCTCACCCTCCCTTTCCTTGCCCTCAGGGGCTGTGGGTAAGTGCACACACATTCTGGAGCACAAAGTCACAGATATGCATCCACCCCCTGCATGGCAGCCCATCCATCTGAGCTGGTAACAGCATCACAGCCATCGAGGGGAGATACAGGCCCCTTCTCGGCAAAGGCACCTTCAGGATGACAGTGTTCCTCCCCCCCAGCCACAGGGGACAAAGCCCCATTGGTCTCCACCAGGGGTCCAGCAGGCAGGACACAGACTGAAAGTCATCGAGTCTGTTAGAGGCCCAAAGGGCAGCCGCTGGCTAGCGAGGAATAAATGATGGTAATGGTGGTGACGAGGATGCTGGGAGAGGGGGAGACAGACATACCAGTTCTGTTGTGGCAACTGTGGAAATTAGGGGAATTAGTACACCTGACTTTCACAAGTATTCTAGAAGGTGAAGGCCGTCTGTATCCATTTCCCAGGTGAGTAACAGGAGTTCAGAGAGGCAGAGCCTCAGGCCCAATCTCTCACAGCAGAGGACTCAATCCTAGGCAGCCCAACCTCCACTGTCCATTTACTCCCCTGTCCTCTGCCTCTTCAAGGGACCTCCCACACCCCTATGAGACCCAGTAATGCCTATGCTGGCTCAGAGGGGAGTCTGGGGGGAGGTTCCAAATGGTGGGTTCAAACACTGGCCAGCACAGAACAGGATAGGGTCAGTGGACACCTGGCTCAGCCCTGGGTCCCAGCACCCTGCTCAGTGCCTGGCACCTCGTGGGCACTTAACATGTACTCGATGGCTGAATGAACAAATGCAGATAAGCAGAGGCTCCTGTGGACAGCACACTGACTGCCAGGCTGCACTGATCTTGGCCTTAGTTTCCCTGCCTGTCAGCTGAGGTGGTACTCAGGCCCCTCCTACTCTGCACGTGGCCTGGTCTCGTGGGGTCATCACAGGTCAACTGTCAGCTGCTGTTCTGTGGGGTCTCCAGGATGAAGCTAAGTGCTGGGGTTGGGTTCTGGCAGATTGGCTCATTATGTATAGCTTGATCTTCTGCAGTGAGTTCAGTGCCAGGAAGGCCACACCCAGGACCACCGTGGGGATGAAGATGCCAGGGCTGGGTTGTTCCCAATCCCAGGTGCTCCTGGCCACCAGGAGGCACCACAGATCAGTTCTGAGGGGCACAGGGCAGGGCGGGGAGCAGTGGAGCTCCACCTCTGCTGCTGGGGTGGGGTTAATCTGAAGGAAGGCAAGACTGATGCTGGCCAGGGGCCAACCCCAACCTGTGCAGCCTAGGTGGAAGCTCATGGAGAGGAATTCCACCCACCCACACTACAGCAGGCCAGAGTCCCACTTCCTGCCAGGCCCCCTCTAAAGGACACTATGGAGTAGGGATGGGGTGCCAGGAAGGCAAGGCCTCTGTGACCACAGCATAATTAAACACCCAGAGATGGGCTCCTGGGAGGGTACGGCCAGCAGGCTCACCTGCCCACTAGCCAGAGGGGCAGTACTCAGCCATTTTTAACTTTTTTTCTACTTCCCACCACACTGTGACAAAGCCATCTGCCCCAGGCCTTGCCTGGTGCCTCTTCCCCTCGGGTGCTCTTGTAGCACCACAGCCTCCTCTCTGTGGTCCCCGCCAGCTTAGCCACTCCCCTGCCTCTGGCCTTTACAGGTACTGCTCCCACAATGTCATTCCCCAAACTCTGCTTGCCTGGCCACTTCTTCACTTCTCAGCTCCAGGGTCTGCCTCCTCAGAGAGGCCTTGGCCACCCACCCTACAGTCAGATGGTCAGGCTCTCACGGGGCCCCCCAATCCATCCCCACCTAATTATGCCTCCCTCTGGAGACTATAAGGGCAAGAGACAGGTCTGTTTGCTCACTAATATGTCCAGGCACTCCGTGAATGTTTGTGGGCAAACGCTGGCAAGGAAGGAAGGTTTGAGACACCTCAGCCCTTGTCCAGGCCTCATAGCTCCAGCTCTGCTGGGGCAGGCCGGGTCCCTCCTGTCTGCAGGGGCTTTGGGAGGGAAGAGAGATGTCTAGGTGTGAGTCTCAGCTCTGTTACAGGATTCAGACAGTCTCTTCCCAGTTGAAAAGCAAGGGTATGGGGTCCAAGGGTCCCCAGTGTCTCTCTGGTTCTGACAAACTGCCAGGCTCCAACCGCAGGGTAAAAACCAGCAGTCGGACCCAAAACTGACCATGGACTAGATTGTGTCCCTCGCCCCAAATCTGTTACATTGACACTGCAACCCCCAGGACCACAGAGTGTGCCTCTGTTTGGAAACTGTCCTTGCTGATGGAGTCAATTTACATGAGGTCATACTTGTCACACCGATATGACTGATGTCCTTACAAAGGAAGATTAGGACACAAAGCCTCATGCACAGGGAGAAAATGTGCAGACTGTGGTAAGGCTGCCACAGCCACAGAGTCCCCAGCAGCTGACGAGGCTGGGGACAGATCCTTCTCAAGGGCCTCGGAGAGAAGACGGCCAGCTGACACCTCCACTTGGGTTCAGTCACCAGGGTGGTGACAGAACAACTTCTAAATTGGCGTCTAAGCCATAGGTGTGGTGTTCAGTTACCCGCCCCCGAACTGTGCCCCTCCCCTCCCAGGTCAAAACCAAGGACCAAGGAGGTGAAGGGCCGAAGGTGATGCAGACCAGGGCCAGCAGGCAGGGACGAGGCAGGGTGGGCACCAAAGGGTGGGTGGTCCCCATACAGCCCCAGTCTAAACCTCCACACATCTGAGAGCATATTTACATTCACTTGCATGATCTGTCTGACAGTGAGAGGGATTTTTTTCCCTCCTTCTTCCCCCTTTAATTAAAAACTATAAATGCCTTATCAAAAGCTAATTAAAAATACCAACACAGTGCCAAGTGGCGAAAAAAAATATAGCTCCATGCAAATATCCGTTTATAACCCTGCAACAGGCTGCAGTGACGCAGCAATTAGGGCCGCTTTGGAGGGGGAGGGGACAGAAGCCACTGCTGAGCCCAACCAACCTGCAGTTCATCTGTCCACTCTGGGTCACCAGGGTGCAGCCACACTTTCCACTCAATCCTTGTCATCAAACTGAGGCTGAGCAAGCCATAGGGCACGGGACCACAGCACTCACGTGGCTGGGGACAGGCTGTGTCTCCCCCTACCCGTGTCAGCATCCTGGTCCACAGAGTGGAGGTGATTCTCCAGGGTCTTGGTGACACTCAGGATGACATACATGTATTACACACTTTACCTCTTCCTGTTCCTGCAGCACAGCAGCCCAACGCTGCTAGCCTCGCTCCCCAGACATGGGGACTTGACCAGCGACAGCTGCATAAACTAACAGTCCGAACGCCTTCCCTCCCTGAGCACTGTGCCCTGGCCTGTGCTGTGCTCTTCGCAAGCTGCTTCACCCACAGGGACCATGAGCGGAGGGCACCACCATGATCCCCATTTTACAGACGAAGAGCCCAAAGGACAGAGGGGACACCAAGCACCATGGACACAGTTGTCACCAGGCAAAGCCTGAACAGGAGACCAGATCATCTCATGCACTAGAAGCCCCTGCCCATGGGCCTGGCTGCCTGCACAGTAGTGAGCGCCCTGTTCATCAGGGGATTCTCATATGAGGACCATGCATTTGACCCAGGGGGACCCAGGAGTCTCTATGCCCCTGCAGCTCAAGATTCTCCCACTGGTTTCTGAGCTGTCCCCATGGCCTGCCTCCTGCAGTCTCTCTTGGCAGAGGATCTGGCTCCCACTGGCACCAGGACAGCCCCGAACTCCACACACCCAGTCCTCACCACTGGTCCGAGGGTAGGCAGCGAGGGTCCCGTCCTGCAGGCCAGCAAGCAGGTGGAAAGGGCTATGCCGCAGGCAGAGCACGGGCTGTGGGCCAGGGCTCCTGCAGGTTGCCAGGCACTGCGTGCCGGTGTCCACACTGCCATAGAGCAGGATGCTGCAAGGAGAGGGGAGGCCACCATGACTCACAGACATCCACCTGCCCCACCAGCCTAACCGTGACCAGACCAGTGCTCCTCCCGCCAAAGCTCATACTGCCATGGGTGGCTTTTCAAGGAGAATGCTCTCTCTGGTCCCATCACAGGGACAATTCTAGGCTCCAGAGGCCAACAGCTGTTTTCAGAGTCACAGAGACCCACCCAAGTTCAAATCCAATGTGCCACCTCCCAACTGAAGACCTGGACCACAAACAGGACCATGATGCCCATCTCAGAGCCACTAGGGAACAGAGCAGGCACACATGGGTGTGCCTTACAAGTGTACGCTAAGTAACAAGGTCTTCAAAAGGCCACATGGTGTAGGACACATGTCATTTGTAGGACACACCAGAGACACATCCGCAGAGGCAGAAAGATCAGTGGCCTTCGTGGAGGATGAGAGGGGAAGTGGGAGACCACTGAATGCATATGTGACTTCTTTCAGGAGTAATGAGAATGTTCCAGAACTATTCAGTGGCTACCTAAAGCCACTTAATTGTAAACTTTAAAATGGAGAATTTTGTCACGTAACTTTTTTCTTGGTTAAAAAAAAAAGAAAAAGGTGTTCACTGAGTCCCTCCTAAGTTGGGGCCCTGGCTGGCAGACCCAGCCTGGGCTTCATGGAGCATAACGACTCCATGCTGATTCTGCTTGGGGAGTCAGCTGGGGGCCCCCACCATGTGGGAAATGGGGATGTGGACAGCTTCCATTTCACAGCACGGACCCAGCATGGGGTACAGCACATAGCAGGTGCTTAGGAGACACACTCCTCCATCTCCCCTCTCCAGGACAGGAAAGGGTGGAGAAGTGCCCAGCCACAGACTCTAGAGAGCACGGTCCCTCCACTGTCTTCCCAATCACCTTCACATCCCAGTTAGGAGGGATGAACGTCCCTCGGCACTTCCGAGGCCAGCTTCTGACCTGTGCAGGCTGCGGTTCTGGCTGTGGCCTCCCACCTTTGTGTGGCTCACTCCCCGGCTCCACGCGTGTCTCGTGGTGGGGAACCCCCTTGTCCTTGCTATCTACCTCATAACCTCAAACATCCTGGGACCCTCATCTGACCAGCAGGGGAGGCACAGAGGCCACGGGTGGGTAGACACTCAATGACAGCTAAGCGAGCCAAAGGCTCCATGTGCCCTGTCTCAGTGAACTTGCAGTTGCCCTGCCTGCGGGGCGGTGGGGTTTGGCAGGATTCTGGTTGTCATTTTATAGATAAGAAGCTGATACGCAGAGAATTCAAATGATGTGCCTGGGGATCAATGTCCAAGAAGTGGTGGGGCTGAGATTCAAACCCAGGGCTGGGGACACCAAAGCCAGCATGACAAACACACTGCCTTGGAGAAATCAGTCAGTTAAAGTACAAGCTGCTCCTGACACTTGGGCTCCCATACTATCATCTCTGGTCCCCAACTTCCTGGTGTTACCCTAGCAGGGACAGAGAATGTCAGTGGGTGGCAAACAGATCAGGAAAGCTGGAGGGAACAGTGCCCGGTACACTGGTCCCTCACCTGCCATCCTGGAGCCCCAGGCAGATGGTGGGATGCACGGTGGCCAAGGCGTCAGCAGTTGCCCGGCTCTCATCTGTGCCCTCTGTGTCCTCCTCCGGCTCCGGAATGTACTCCATACAGAGCACGGGTGCTGCCAGCGGGAAGGACTTGACGGTGCGTGGTGAGGGCCGGTTCAAGGAGAAGATCTCCACCTGGCCCCCGGCGCCCTCCTGCCCACCCCCGACCTGGAAGCAGAGACCCAGAGAAACCGTCAGGTGGGAACCATGTGAACAGAGGTGGAGCCCAGCCTCTCCTTCCCAAGGACAACATCCCAAATACCTCCCTGCCACTGGGGTTACACAGTGAGAGGAATTCCAGTCTTCTGCCCACTTACATACTGTGCTCACAAAGGTCACTGTCCCAGCTACATAGCAACAAACTAGCTTCAGGGATCAAAGGAAATCAGGTAAGCAGCTAAGGTAGATGAGGTGCCCAGTTGGCTTTCTAGTTCCTCCTTGGGAGGGGTGCTTCAACCAATAGTCACTGGATGTCTTCTCTGTCCTTTTACATGGTCCTATCTGTCTTTTTCACTGTTTTACCCTTGTATCTAGCATGTGACATGCACCTAATATATACTTGTTGGATAGGTGGGTGGGTGGGTGGGTGGGTGGGTGGATGGATGGATGGATGGATAGATGGATGGATAGGTGGATGTGTATATGCATAGATGGATAAAGAGATGGGTGGATTCATAATGAACAATAATTAGATAAATGGATGGATGAGTGACATGGGTGGGTGGGTGAGTGGGTGGGTGAGTGGGTGGATGGATGGGTGGGTGAGCGGATGGATGGATGGATGGGTGGGTGGGTGGGTGGATGGATAGGTGGGTGGGTGGGATGCATGGACGGATGGATGGATGAACAGGGTAGATACATACAAGCACATAAAGATTGGCAGATATGCCATGTGCTAGATAATGGGGAAATGTCTCAGAAGAGACATTTGGCTGAAGTCTAAAAGAAAAGTCAGAGACTTGCTCAAGTGCCTGGAGATAAGAATAAGCAGAAGTTAGATAGCCAGGGGATGGTGAGGCTGGAACCTCAGACACAGGAGGGCGTAATCTGTGTCATGACCCACATGGGGGTGGGGGCTCATTTGAACGAAGAGAAGCTTTGCCAGGAGCTGCAGAGGTAGCAAAAGTGGGTAGAATCTGCCTCCTGACCCTGGGGGAGACCCTGTGACCCAGGCACTCCACACAGCTGCCAGTTCATATCCCAGGAAGACCCTGATGGATGAATCTGCTCCACAAGCCACTAGCTTTTTCCAGCACCCCTCCCAGTGCCACCCTCCATGCTTCTGCCTCTGCTGAGCACAGGGACTACTCACCCAGAGGTAGCCCTGTGGAAGGGAAGTACTGACTGCCGAGAAGCCCAGCAAGGGACAGTTGACAGGACTGTGGACCAGGGCCCCGAGCTGTAGAGACAGAGACAACGCAGGTGGGGTTAATTGGTAAGGAACCAAGGTGCCGATATTTGGCAGATCCTGGGCCCATCCAGCTCCCCCAGTGAGAACTCTAAAGGTGGGATGAGGAAAGTGACCCATGTCACATGGTCTCCAAGTGGCTCCTACACTACATATGTGGTCACTCTTCTAGAACCTTCTGGCCAGAAGGAGCTTACATGAAGCTCTGTATCAGCTAGGCTCTCAGAAACTGGGCAGCTTCCAGATACGGTTCATGGAAACCCATTAAGCCTCCCCCCGCCCCCGCCACCCATTTTGAGGATGTAGAAGATGAGGTTCACAGGGATAGGGGCTTCGCTAGGCCACAGGGAAGGTGAGTGACAGGGCCTGGCCTGTACCTGCCTAGTCTGTCTCCTGCATTCCTCCCAAAACCACAGGGAGGCGAGAAAGGAGACATTGGAGTTCTGCTCACTATGCCAGGCCCAGAGAGCTGGACAGCTGTGCAGGTGGTGCACGGAGCTGGGGCTCTGTCTGTAAACAGCTGTCACTGAGAATTCCTGGCTGCTGTGCCTCTTCCTGCTCTGCTGCCCCAAACCCCATGCTGGTGGCCTCTCAGGGGCCCGTTCCCTGAGCCAGACCCAGCCAGTCCATCTCTTGGGCCAGGAGAGCTACGCAAAGGAGGTAGTGCTGCTAGGGGCATGCATGCCACAAGGCCTTTTCTGGGCAGATGCTGCCCTCTGCTGGTGTCGAATTACCCGGCGGGCTGCCGCTCTGCTGGAATAGTTAATAAAACGGCTAACGGCCGTGGGCAAGGAGGCCTGAACAGTCACCACATCTGGCCTCCTCCTGTAGCAGTCCGCCAACTTAATGCTCATTGTGAGGCAAGACTAGCTCAAGGTCACACAGCAAATTAGGGCAGAGGCAAGGCTGGAATTCAACCTTCCCATTCCGGGTCCAGTGTTCTTTCTACCCTGGTTGAATTCTACCCAGAAGCCAGCCAGAGGCCTCAACACTTTGGGGTTCCACCTCTGCACAGTTGGGGACGCCGGCCTCCACACCCTGACTGAAGGCTTCCTGCATTTCCTGTCCACTTTGCTTCTTGGTGGCCTTCTGGCCCAGGGTGCCAGCCTGTAGGCTCCTTTCCTCTCAGAGGAGGGAGAGGAAGTCACAGTCCTGGCTCTGCCATTTCCATGGCAACTCCAGTGGGCCCTGATGTCAGCTGAACCAACAGAGCTGGGTCCAAGATGGTAGCAATAACTCAAATGGCTCCTTCATGGGCGATGGCCTGGACCTCCTCTTGCCTGTGCCAGGAAGCTGATGTCCAAGAGTCAGAGCAGAGGAGGGCACATGAATGGGGAAGGGAAGCAGGCCTTGGGTGCTGCCAGGCTGGGCTGCATCCCCAGCTAGTGGCTGCGTCTGGGCCTTCCAGGCAAATCAGCTCCTCACATATAAATGGGGGCCTGGCTTCACATCAGGATTGGTGACTGGGCCTGGGGAGGGCAGCACACAGCACTGAGCATGGGGCTGGATGTGCAGCACCTGGCAGTCAGATTCCCAGGCCTCCCTCGGGGCATTCCAGTGTCTGCCACACTGACTCGTGTCCTCAGCAGAGCAATGCTGAGGGCAGGGATGCTCCAGGTGGGCAGCTGTGCAGTTAGCAGGCAGCGCCTCCCCAAAAAGTTCATGTATTGGAGCTTGGTCCCGGATGGTGGCATGGAGTTAGTGGTACAACACGGGGTGGGGGGTCAGGGTGGTGATTAGGTCACGAGGGGCATTGTCCTCAGAAGAGATTAATGTACTTTTCATAGGACCCCAGCTAGTTCCCTCAAGAGTGGGTTGTTACAAAAAGTGACAGCCTGACTCCTGAATCTTTCTGGATTCTTCTCACATGCATTCACACCATTATAACAGACGGGAATGCCTGATCTTGGACTTTCAGCTTCCAAAACTGTGAGCTAAATAAACTACTTTATTTCTTTATAAAGGATCTTGCTTCAAATATTTTGTTATAGCGACAGAAAATGGACTAAGATACAAGCCAATAGCAGTTCTGGCTAATGGAAGCCAGGGAAGATCCAGACAGAGGCTGTGGGGCTGGGGAGCTAAGGCCTAAGCAGCCTAGCCACAAACCCTCTGCAGGACAGGGTGCTCAAATCTTAAAACACCTCAAAGTGGACATTAACCCACTCTGTCCCCAAGTTCGTTCCCAGGCAGCCTGGAGACTAACCTCAGCCAATAGCAGATAGTTTTGTGCTATCCCCTCCCAACCCTGCTGCTGCCCCTCCTCAGCCCTCCAGGCACAGGCTCCCCTCAGATGGAGCTGAGGGCCCAAGAAGAATCCTCAGACACCCCAATACTCAGGCTTTTGGGAACCCCCAGTGGCCTCTTCCTCCTGGAGCAAAAGTGTCCTCAGATACTTGTTTCCTCAGATACTTTCTTAAATCCTGAGTGCAACTGAATAACATGTAACTATAATCGTATCACTTAATCCTTACTGTGACCTCCTCACACTGAAGACAGTTGTGACACTGCGGGCTGAAGCAACTTTCTGATGTCACATGGCTGGGACCCAGACAGGGTAGCTCCCTGTTCTCTCACACTCCCGACAACCAGTTCCCCTGGGAGGCCTGGCGAGACCCAGCATGGGCACGGGCCTGTTGGCACCAGCAAGAGACCTGCTCCCCCTGCCTGCAACCTGTAACCTTGAGGACAGAACCCAGCATATCTCATCCCACTCGTACAGAGCCCCAGCAGGGAAAGAGGCTAGGACCGGCAACTCCCTGGGGCCAGCCTCAACCTTCCCTGGAGAAACAGGCCAAGCCACTGGCTCTGCTGGCGGTAGTGAGAGAGGCAGGCACCATCTGTTCCCATGGCAACTGGACAAGACCCTGGCACTCCAGGGCCCTGGATCATCTGACTGCCTCACAGAGCCGATGGGCACAGCCGTCTGGTCTGGGTGGGAGGCAGGCATAGAAGAGTGGGATCTGCATCTTGGGGGCCCAGCAAATAGGGCCATGCAGGTTCTGGAGTGTTCCCCAAGAACCCCACAGGCCTATTACCCATGGAGATTCATCCTCAGCCAGCAGGGGAACCTTGAGCAAACTCTGAGCAGGAGCCCCTGGGGGCTGGGATGCTTCCAGCCCACATGTTCTGGAGCCCCAAGAGCTCCGAGTGGGGAGACGAGTGGGCCCTCACCCCCCCCCCCGGGCTCAAGGCAGCAACGGCTCTCCTCCTAGGTGTGGGTTTCTTCCAGGGAGACTCTGGAGGAAGTGGCCTGTCTGTAACTCCACCTCCCTGGTCTGACCTGTCAGGGCTCAGCTGTGGCCTGTGTTCCCAGAGATGAAGACTCCAGTCCCTACCACAGAAGTCACAAGGGCTAGCACAAGACACACCAAGGCCAGGTGAGTTCAGACAGGGTGGACCCTAATGACTGCCTTTGCCTGGACTCTGCTCTTCACCACAGGTAGTCTACCATCAGCCAAGCCAGTCCCACCTGACTTACAACCCCACCATGTCCCCACCTCCCCTTCACTGCCTCTGCTGGGGCAGAGACAAGGGGATCAGGATGGAGCTAATGCCTTAGGTGCCAAAATTTAAGGGGGTGCCAAAAACACAGTACTGGAAAAATATTTTAAGGCAACCTGGGGGTAGGTGTGGCAGGGATGGGACTCGGGGCCTTGCGCGTCCTAGGCAACCACTATACACTGAGCAACACCCAAGCCCACTTATAGCAAGGTTTTAAAATCAAAATTAATGCAAAAACAGCCACAGTGAGCAATGATTAAAAGTCTGAATAAAGCTGGGATCCACCCTGCATTTATGTGATCTGACTCACTGGCCTCACACTAATCCTGGCCTTTCATTTACCAGAAAAGAGCAGCCAAACCACAGGCTTTACTCTGCCGAGAGGATTTTTTTTTTTTAAAGTATTACATTTATATTTATCTGATCATTGAGATTTTTGGTGGCCGTTTTATTCCTGCAGCAGAAGCAAGGCCTCTCTCCCCTTCTCCTGATTCAAGTTGGGACCTTTAAGAGATAATTAGGCCATGAGGGCTCATCCTGGCGAGTAGATTCATGCTGTTATTGCATCAGTAAGTTCCTTATAAAAAGGGAATAGAAGGGGCTCAGCCCGATGTCCTCTATCTTTTTTTTTGGTGATACTGGGGTTTGAACTCAGTGCCTCATGCTTACTTAACAGGTGCTCTTACTACTTGAGCCACTAGTCAGCCCCCTATGTCCTCTATCTTGCACCCATACCTGTCCTCCCTTCCTCCACAGGAGGCTAGCGTGAGGGCCCTCCATATGCTGGTGCCACACTCGTAGACTTCCCAGCCTCCAGAACAGCGAGTCAAATAAACTGCCACTCTTTATAAGTTACCTAACCTCAGGTAGTCTGTTACAGCAGCAGAAAACAGGTTAAGACACCTCCAGCTCACAAAGTGACAGCCAGACCAGCTCTCCTGACGAGGGCCACCTCAGCCTCTGTGTTGGCTTGTTTGCTTGGAATACTGTTTCCTTAGAGACTGAGTCCTGCTTACCATTTGAGTCTCAATTTAAATGCCACCTTCTTAAGGGCCCTCTCTGAGCTGTCAACTACGAGGCCCCCCATCTATGCACCTGCTGTACCACAGGCTTCTATTCTTATAACGCACATCACTCTCTTCTATTTCCTTCTGTTTGCTGTCTTTCTCCACTGGACTGAACGCTGCACAAGGTGGGACCTGGAATGTCTTAGTCACCACTGTATTCCCAGTTATCTAGCACACAGTAGGTGCTCACATATTCTCCTTGAATGAGCAAATGAATAAAGGAAGGAAGTGGACTTACATCTCAAGGAGGCTCTCTCAGCTGTTTACAGCCCCAGCCTACAGCCCCGCCAGCACGACTCCCGGGACTATTTGTCTGTGCTGGGTGCCACGCTCGCTCGCCCGTCCCCAGAGCTGAGGTCCTCATCTGCTTGGGAGAGGAAGGACAGTAGTTGCTCCAGGTGGCAGGGTGGCTCTGCCAGGACATAAGGGACAGATGACCGGTGGGGGCTAAGCTCCATGGTAGTGAAGATCACGGGGGTGTAATCGGACAGAGCAAGGTTGAGGTCCTGGGCCCACCCCTTCCAACTAAATCATGTCACCTGCAGAGCCCTCGAGTCCTGGTCTGTGATGCAGAAATGTCTGCTCAGAGGTTCTCAGCAATACCCAGGCAAGAAATGATAGCAAGGTACCAAGCAGCACGGTGCATGCTCAACAGATGGGCACTATGGTTGGGGAGCATCCCACATAAAGGTGGGAAGGGCCCTGCCCAGCCAGCTCCAGCTTCCAGCCTGGCATCACCACCAAGGGTCCAGCCACCTCCACCCATTCTGGATCCTGGCTGTCAACCAGTGAGACCACAGCTGTGTTCTCAAACAACAGGAATGTTCCACTCACATGACCCACGCTGGTCATGCACCCATTCTTTGGGTGGGAAAGCTGACTTGCAGAACACCACAAAGGCTGGACCACCTGGGTCCATAAGCAGTAGAGAAGCTGGATTTCTGGCCGCTACCTAGAAACTGGTTCTCCCAGGTGAGGCGGGGCCACGGCCACCTTCACCTCCCTGGGGTTCACTCACCTGTAGGCTGAGGGCCCGGGAGGAGAAGGCAGGGACGCAGCAGGCCAGGATCGGGCACCAGAAGGGGGCTCTGCTCTTCCTGTCTTCATCTGGACACAGCCAGCCAGGCTGGTTCTCCTCCCCTGGGACAAGAGGAAGGGGGTAAGTGAAGCTAGGTAGTGTCTGGGGACCGACCAGGCAGAGAGCAGCTGTCGCCCCACAGCAATCTGCAGTGCGCCAATCTGTCACCCCCAATTCACTCACACTCCTGACCATCTGGGATAAAGTCCAGCCTCACTCTGTGGACTTGGCCATGAGCCCCGAAAGCTGGAGCCGGCCTCACCCTGATCACTGAGCAAACTCTGCAAATCACCCCAACCCTTTAAGCCTCAATTTCATCACTACAAAACAAGGATAATAAAAACACCTTTGTCCTGAAGTTACCATGAGCACTGAGGGAAATAATAGAGGTGAGAGGGTTTCAACAAACACTGAGAAGCTAGCAGGTCCTACCCAGTGACCTTGGACTCGCATTCAAGAGAGGAAGGCGGATCACAAACCAACAGGCAGACAGTGGCTCTGACTTGTGAAGACATATTGTGCTGCTTCCTGAGTCCTCCAAAAGGCCCAGGGACCTGTCATAAGCACAGACGCCTGAGCCAACCCTGGGATTCATGTCTGGGGACTCTGTGCTAAACCTCGTTCTCCACAGCAGCTCCATCACACGAGTCACCTCTTCCGAGAAGTCCTCCCTGGCTATAGTGAGCCCCCTCCCTCGGGAATGGCTCTGAAGAACCTGTCTTGTCTCCCCCAGAGCTTTCATGACCACCTGAAATGACCTCACCTATATACATTTGAGTCTGTCTCCAATGTCACTAGAATGTAAGCTGTAGCCTGCAGGGAACAGGGCTGTGCAATTCGCCATAGTTCCCTGTCACCCAGCACCTAGCCTGGCATGTGGTAAGTGCTCAATAAACATGGGTTGAAAGAATGAATGAGAGGAAGAAGGAGTAAGTAAACCACCATCTGTCCCCAGGAATTCTGCCCACCAAGGAGCCCATCCTTCTTTATTTATTTGGGTTTTTTTGGCAGTACCGAGGTTTGAATTCCAGCCTCATGCTTGCTAGGCAGGAGCTCTACCACTTGAGCCACTCCACCAGTCTTTTTTTTTTTTTTGCTTTATTGTTTTTCACACGGGATCTTGTGTTTTTGCCTGAGCTGGCCTCAAACAGCAATCCTCTCAATCTCTGCCTCCCCTCCCAGTTAGCTGGGATTACAGGCATGCAATCATATAAGCATACCTGGCTGAACCCTACCTCCTTTACATGTATGTGCAGACTGCCATCCTGGCGTGACTGGGACCCACTTCTCATGTGCCCCCACACCAGGTATTGCATGATGCTGGGGGCTTTGGATCCACTCTCTGGCTTACGGAAAAACAGCCTGGGAAGAATGCTGTCACTTCACAGGAGGTGAGACCAACATGCAGTGATTAAGAAGCATGACTAGGTCACAGCTGTGGCAGTGACCACATTAGAGGCCAGCTCTGCAAGACTCCCAAGACTAGGTTCTTCACACCAAACCCACAGAAACTGGTGCCCCTGGGCCTGGCGCTAGACCACAGTGAGGCAGCTCTGCCCCAGACAGCCCAAGCCATTGGCTGGGTACCTACAGCCCTGGGGTTGGAATGGGGTCATAAACTGAACTGTTAGGACAGCAGCCCTCACACTGCTCTGCCGTGATGAAGGGGAAGTGGGGACCAGGTGCACGCTGGCCATGCCTTTGGACAGACGGCCCCTTGACCAGTCTCGCTCCCAGTGGCCCAGCCTTCTATGAATACTCATTCCTGGCCTCACTGCTCCCTGTTCAAAAGCATCAATAGAGCGCTGATACACTTGTAATAAGACCCAGTCTCCCCTAGTCTGCAAGGACGCGACTCCGTCCCACCCCAGCCTCACCCTCTGATCACCAAGCTCTGCCACACGGCTCATCAACTTAAGCAGGACAAGCCCAGTGTCCCTCCGCCCAGAAGGCAACCCCTCTGCTCTCTCCAGCAGCTCCTCTCCTCCCCAGGGTGGCTTAAGGGGACACCTCCTCAGAGAGGCCCTCCCTCACCCCAACACTGTCCCACCCCCTCTGGAGGCATCCCAGCCCTCATTGCTACCGATGTCTCTGATCTGCAACGGTTCAATTTATGATCCTTAACTTTGGGGGGCCATGAAAGACGCCGGCATTCAGCCGACTGTCTTGGTATTTTGAACTTTGATTTTCTGTGGGCTGGCGAAGTGCAGTTCGAGCCTCTCGTGACGCTGGCAGTTCAATGCCCCAACAGCCCCACCATCGTGAGGGAGGACAGCCGGACAGCAGTGTGCCCACACTCCCAGGGTCCTGTCTGCTGGGTTTTGCATTTTCAGCCCCTGATGTATCTACAAAACGCCCATCCATGTGTGTAGACAAGATACACAACACTCTGTCATAAGTAGGCTCATTTGATGAGTTTGCCCAACCCCGGGTTACTGGAAGTGCTCTGAGCACGAAGAAGTGAGACTCAGCGGCCGTGCTAGTTCAGAGGTCAGGTGCGTTTTCCACTTACGACATTTTCAACTTGCGATGGGGTCATCAGGAAGGGGTCTCAGGATGTAATTCCATTGTAAGTCGAGGAACATCTATCCTCCCCATTCTTTTACTGGTGTGTGCATATGCTTGGAAGCAGGAGCTCCTCTGCCATGCCAGTGTCCCATGAGAGCCAAATCCTCCCACTCTGTTCTCTTCCATTCAATGCCCCACGTGCTCACACAGTGCTGGACACACCACAGGCCACACACCAGTGAACTTGTGCAGCAGGAGCAAAGCCCCTTTCCCCAGGGTCTCATTTTACAGGTGCATCTGAGGTAACCAGTGCATCAACGACAATTTGGCCTGTTTTTATTAAAGAGACACACCGAGTCAGACAGAGAAGGGCTCTGTCTGGACATATGTGAGGATCAGCTTGACGGCAGCCCCTGTGCCTGGCATGTAACGAGCACCTGAGAAATGCCACTGCTCCAGAGGAGGTGTCTGAGCATCATCCATGTTGGCCAGAGAGGCTGGTGTGAGCACAGGTGCACATATGCTCTGGGAGGTTAGAGGTTCACGAACATCGGCTTTAACATGCAGAGGTGGGTACACACGTGGGCTTCCACCCCCTGGCTGGGTCAGTGAGCGCTGGACTCATCCCCTAGCCTGGCCCTAAACAGTCACATAAGACCTGGCCCCTGCCACAGAAAAGGGAGGAGGAAGAACTGGCATGGGACGAGGAGACCCTCAGGGAAAGCGTAACTTCACCACCACAGTATCACATGACCACTACACTTCACAGTTTACACGCTGCCTCCTTCCGTTGTCCTGTCCCCCTGGGAGGTGGGTATGTCCATCCCCATTCCACATTGGGCAATGGCCCAGGCCCCAGAGAGCTAAGCCAGAGGGCACTTTGCAGAACACCTCACCATGGCAGGATCCGGGCAGCCCTGCTGCCTCTTGGTCAAGCCCCCTTGGCTGCAAATAAACATGGGCACAATGTAACAGCCCATCTGTGCCCTCAGGGAACTCACAACCAAGCAGACCCCGGCCTGGCTCACAGTACACTGTCCTCACTGGGCGGTCCCCCTTATGGGGTGGTGGGTGCACACAGGGTCCCACCCCATCTCCATGTGACTCCAGTTCATGTCTTCCCCCTGCCCCCAACACCCACAGCCCATCAAGCCCTGGCAACTTATTGGATGTATTTTTTAATGATCTGACTTTCTCCTTCCAGATGGTGCCTCCCCAGCCTGCCACTAGGGATGCTGAAGGAAAATGGAGCTGTTGCTCCCATCTGCCCCTGCCATTGTCCCATCACAAAACCAGAGCAGCAGAGGTCAAATTAGGAGGCTGCTGATGATGAGGGCTGAGATCCAACTTGGGACAAGTGACATTAAGAACTCCTACCAATGGCACAGCCAGATTTCAACCTAAGTGGGGCTTACTTAGCACCTGTCTGTCAGCACCTGCTGAGCACAGAGCCCACCAAGAGGCAGAGGGGGCAGCCCAGGGTGGCAAGCACCCCCAGCCTCAGAACATCCCCTCCGATTTGCTGCAAGGGCCCCAGGCACATCCTAACTTGCTGTGTGATACTGAGCCTGGTGCTCAACCTTTCTGAGCCTGTTGCCTCTTCTAGAAGACAGGGGAAATAATTCCAACCAATCAGAGTCGTTACAAGCATGAGACCCTGGGGAAACAGTGGCCATTATGGTGCCTGTCCTTGCTGTTAACACTATGCCCACTGATGCGCAGCTGCCCTCCTCCGGCCCTGCCCTGCTTCCCCAGTCTGTCTCCCAAACTACTGTGCTCAGTGCCTGTGTCAGGCCTTCCCAGTCATGGCTCCCCAGGGCACAGCCTGGACCGCTCTTTTCAAACCTCCCAAATCTGAGGCTGTCTTCAAGTCCGTTATACATCCCCAGCACCATAGAGATGCTGCTGGTCACAGCCTTGGACGCCAGGCTGAGCAGGACCTCAGCAAGCATCTTTTCCACCCCCGATCCCCACCCCGGGGAACACAGTACTTGCCAGGCAAAGGCTGTGGTCTCTCAGGTGGAGTAAAGAAGGCTCCGTGGCCTGTGCCCTTGACCCCACCCACCCCAGAGAACAGAGCCACCACATCCAGTTGTGGGGCTTAACACAGTCCAGTGCCACCTCCAGGACAGTTTTAAGGGTTAAAGGAGGTGAGGTTTAGGGCCAGCTCAGCATGGTGCCTGGGCTGAGTTCAGGAGCCAGCAGCTGGCATCTTCAACGGGAACAAGCCACTGTGAAGACAGAGGTGCAGGGAGGCTATCGGGCCCCACATTTGGGCTCTCTGCCCTGACCCAAGGGTGTCCCTGTGAGTGTGGCCTGTGGCCTGCAGGACCCAGGACCTCTTGGGAAGGGAACAAGGAGGGCCACGGGTAGGAGAGGCTCAGGGATCTGTGGAATAAGGGCTGGAGGTACAGAGTTTCACAAACTGGGGGTCAGCATGAGAGCCCCAGCCTCACCTTCCTTCTTGGGGCCTCCCTCTGCATCCCTGGAGCTTTCTCAAACAGAGGTTAACAGGCTGAGAAGGTGAGTCAGCTTAACACTGCCTGTCTGTGACCCTGGGCTGCTCACGCCCCTCTGTGGGCTGCAGACATGCCTCATCCGGGAGCTCTTCACGCATGTGCCACCTCAGGCTCTCCCAGCCCTTCGTGCCCGTCTCCCTGCAGCTGCACAAGGGTCCCCATTTTCTGATGCGAAGTCTCAGGCATCTACAAGTTCAGGAGTCTACCAAGAAGTAGCATTTCTGGCCTACGCATGAGCTGCCTGGCTCCAGGTCACTGGGTTCTAAGAACCACCCCTTGCCACCTCTGGAACCTTCTTGTGCACCAGAGGCCTTAAATACAACAGGGAGAAAAAGGGCCTTTTGAGATCTAGTCCAATCCCAGATGGGAAAACTGGCACTCAGGAGGGTCCTTTTCCCAGGACCACCTGGGCGTGCTGGGATTTGAATAGGGTCTCCAGGACTCTGCTCTTTAGAGGGCAGACAGATTCCCGCCCCCAGACCCCAGGCTCCCCCGCCCAGCACTGTCCTTTCTCAGTCTTCAGTGGATTATGATCCTGGCACATTGTAGTCAGGGAGATACAGAAAAAATAAAACCCAGTAAAAGAACAGCACGTGGCAAATAAGAGTTTTATACACATTTCTACCAGGTTTATATCATCCCCTCTCCCCCACCCAGGCACTGCAGATTAAAAAAAGAAAAGTGGCAAAATAAAAGGAACAAATTACTCAAGCCCCAGGGGGACCCAGGCACTCAAATAAGATTTCAAATGACTCTTCTCCCATTACAAGTTTTGCTGCAGTGAAGCTGCACGGAGATAAGCCGGCCTGCATCTCCACAGGCTGCCAGAGCGGCTCTGCGCGCACTCAGCGCCTGGCCCTCCAGGGCAGGCCTGCTCAACAGAGCGTCTGCAGTCCAATAGGACGTTTATGGCCCTCCAAAGCAGGTGTACACACAGGGCTTGGGTGCCTACCCGCCACAGTGGGGAAGCAGCATGTGGTCCCAGGCCCTGCAGGAAGCCACCTTTACCTGTCTGAGGGCCAGAATTCCTGAGACCTCTACCAGGGATGGGGGGGCTCTGTTTAAGGCCTTTCCTCCACCCTGCAGAGGCCCCCTGGCACCCAGAAAGCAAATCAGTCCTAGATCTAAGGGGACTGGCTGAATAGCTACTCCCCATCTCCTCCCCTACCACACACCTGCCCCTCTAGCGCCTCTTCACACAGCAACTAGAATGACCCACTTGAATGAAAACCGGTTGTAACACCTGTGCTCTCCGAGCCACAGTGAATGCCTTCCTGGTAAGCTCAGAACAAATGCTTCATGCGTCATCCGGCTTTCTGGAAAATCTGTGACCTCTAGCCTACCACCTACTTCTTCCCTCTCACCTCTGACTGCTTTGGTCTTCCTATCGTGTGTACCTCAGGGTCTTGGCACTTTTGGCTCCTATACCCAGATCTCTTTGCCCAGACTTTGCATGGCTTCAGAAGTCACACCCTCAGAGGCCTCCCTAACCGCAGCCCTGCGCTCAGTGACTGCTCCATCTCACAGCCTAGGCCCCCTTGATCTGTACTCTATTTAATTCAAGTGCCTTGAAAGCAGAGATCTTTCAGGTTTTTATCACAGCTCTTTCCCCATGCCTGAAATTACTGTGGAGCACAATAAATACGGCTTTTTAGTTATCGAAACCCATTGACAAAGGTCCTGCCTTCTTTCCAGAAATGTGCTTACAGCTATCAGAGACATACACTTTTCCATAAAAAGACCACATCAAAAGCAAAGCAAAAAGGAAAACAAAAACTGTCTCCACTGTCAGCTGGAATTAGTGGATGGGGATGCTGCTCTGTCACCTAACAGCTCTGAGCATCAGGACAGGGGCCTCCCAGGGGTTCAAAAGCAGATGAAGTCATTACAGCATAATCACTGTAGATGGGCAGAGAGGACCAGACAACTGAGGGAGCAGAAAGGACAGGGATGGAGTCCAGACTCTGGAGGACGACTGCCAGGGTCCTGCTGTGTGACCTCAAGCAAGTCACAGAACCTCTCTAGGCCTCAGAGTCCTTTATGGTTAAAAAAGGGTGGGGGTGGGGTGGGGTGGATGTATAACAGAACTTTCCCAGAGGTCTTATGAGCATAAAATTAAAAAGCTATGTGTAAAATATTTAGAAAAGTAAACATTTATTTATTTGTATTAGTATTAATGAGTGCACAGCAGAAAATAACTAAGAGATCTTTGGTTGAGAATCTGATCCATAACTGAATGACAATAAAATCCATCCTGGCCACGCGCACACTTCAGACCTTCCTGGGATATTCAGGGCGGTCACAATCACTATCTTTAGAACAATTTCACCCCTACTAGGAAGCCATGAACAGCCTCCCTCCTTTTCTCGCACCCCCCCCAGGTCCCTGGCACCTACTAACTCATTTTCTGTCAAGTCCCATCACTGCTCAGGTGGGGAAACTGAGGCTTGTCCCAGGGCACAGGGCAGAGCATGGGACGTGACACTCTGGCTCAGTTGTTTCTCCACTAGGCCACCTCCCTCCCTGCCCACTGACCCTGGACACCTCCACGTACTCACACCCCCAAGTCTGGCCTCGGGCCCCATCCCATGCACTGTCCTGGGCTGTACTCACGGAGTCCAATCTTGGCCAAATGCAACCGATTGACCCAGGAAATCTTGCTCAGGGGGTTGGGGGTGATGAAGACCACCATGAAGCTGATGGGACGGCCGGATCTGCAGGGAGAAGGGAGATCTGTGAGCACAGTACTCTCAGCTTCCTGCCTGGCACAGCCCCCTAGCCAGCCTTGCTTGGGCCTCTTCAGAGGACCAGGAGTTCTGGAGGGGAACGGGATCCCAGTGCCTTGGAGGGGGGTAAGATGGTAACCCTAACTCTCTCAGGTGCTGAGAAAAATGGAGTGCAGAGAGAGGACAGGAGTGGGGCTAGGCCAATCCACAGGGAAGTGACACATTTGGGTTACAGCTCAAGGCCGCAGACTCAAGTCCCATAGCCCTGCCCCAACATCAAGCCCCCACTCTCCTCTCCTCTCCCAGGAGGTCAAAACCTGGACAGTAAGCCCCTCGCTGAACAGTCTGGGGTTCAAAGTTTGGCCCCATCAGAACCTGGCTCCACCTCTTCTATACGTGCTGGCCCATCACCTCTCGGGGCCTCCATTCCTGCCTTAAAGTGGGGCTAGTGAGACCCACACTACAGAGCCCCAGGAGGGCCAGACAGGATTAGCAGGTGAGCCTGCTGCTACTTGCCAGACAAGCAGTGGACTCTGGCATCAATTCTCCACACAGGGATATGGCAGGTCCCTGCTGGGCATAGGTTCCTGTGGTGGGCACTTGGGATGGTGCCCTGGAGGAGGAGGTTTGGTTCTATGGAGAGGATCCTGGGGACCACAGTCTGATGTGAGTGAAAGGAAAACAACACAAATGGAACCACTAGGTGGCAGAATGTCCACAGATCCCAACATGGAGGTGGGGGGGGATGGGAGATGGGGTGGACAGAGAGAACCATGCTGGTCAAGGGAGTCAACAGGCCCTCACTCGTCCATTCATGCTACGTGCCAGTGCTGTCCCGGGCATGGCCCACCATGGGTGTGTACCCTCTCCCATGGGCAAGCAGGACAGCTTCAGTTGTGCCCTCTCCCTCTCCCTCTCCAGTCCCACTATGGGCAGCCTGCTGAGGCAGCAGGCCCTCCCCTCCTGTCCCAGACACCCACTCACTTGTCAGGTTTCCCAGGAAGCAGGAGCCGGAGGCGGCACTTATTGGCCGAGTGGATCTCCTCCTCCTTCACCCGCATCAGCCTCTGCAGGGCCAGGCACCAGTCTTGAGCCACAGTCATGTTCAGGTTCTAGAGTTGGGGAGGTTGAGATCACTACACAGCTCCTTGGCTCCCTGAAAGCCACAGCAGGTCCCACAGCAATGGTGACACCCATGGAACACGGGAAGGAGTCTGGAGCTTCCACGGGACTGCTCATTTAGCTATGAGGAGGAGCCCACTGCCCGAGCTCAGAGCTTCTAGCCCTGGCTCAGAGACCACCAGATGCCCTCCTCCGAGGAGGCTACCCTCCTGGCTGGCTTTTCTGCAGCCTTGGGCAGAGGCCAAGGAGGGACTGCAAGGCTGACTAACTGCTAAACAGAGAACCAGAGGCTGCAGCCTAGCTCTGCTCAACCCAAACCAGAGGCCAGGCGCAGACTTCTAAGAGGGTCACAAGCTCTCCCTGCACTGCTGCTTGTGGGTGCTTAGAGCCAGGGCACAGCTGAGAGCGGGCTCCTGGCCCAGCGCTCACACGGGGCAGCTTGGCGCCATTGTGCCTACCTGGTAGGTGCCATGCAGCGTGCTGATGAGCAGCGTGATCTGCTCCACCACCACCAGGTCCTTCTGCAGGTCCTGCAGCTCCTGGAAGAGGCGCGGTGGGCCCAGGTACACCTTGTCTGGCAGAGAAGAGACTTAACTCAGCCTCAGGCTAGGGAAGGTGTTCACAAGCAGCCAAGCGTTTGCTTGCAGTGAAAAATAAGAGCTGTGACCTGAGGGAAGTGGCACTGGAGATAAGGAAGGAAATATGACCAGGGTTTGGAAGACAGATGTGCTCACAGGTAAGTCTAACACCTGAGAGCAGACCCAGTCAGGCTGGCTGGGGACCATGAGATAGAGAACTGTGCCTGGGAAAGATAAGGATCCCACACGGGGTCAAAACAGAAGATAGCATGTGCAAAGGTCCTGTGGCTTAAGGAAGCCCACAAACAGCAAGTTGTTCAAAGACGTACTGAGGTCTCTGCTCTTAGGGAACTGTGACCTTGGGGAATGAGGGAGGCTGGGGGAGAAACAGTCAGTTAACAAGCAGATGGTGGGAAGGACCGGGAAGAAAGATATTAGGATGATGGGGGTGAGTGGGCCCAGGTCTCTGGTGAGGAGTCAAGGGAGTGTGGGCAGCAACAGTCATGGAAAGCCATTCTGGGGAGGTGGACTACTTTCACGAGGCCACTGCTCCTAAACTATGGAGTGCCAGGGGAAAAAAGCCTTATTCTGGGTTTTCATTTAAGTGATTGTCTAAAATGCACACGTGTCCCCTGCACCTTGTGACTTTGAAGTCACATTAGAAAAGTGGCATCAGGACTCTGCTAAGAGTGACAACCTGAACAATGACCAGGTAACAAGCAAGGGAGTGGGACTGGGATGCTGGCCACACATGGACACCAACAGAGGGTGAAGAAGGGGACACAGTGACCTCAGTGGATACGGTGGGAAGTGTGGCTGCCATGAGGTGCCCTGTGAGACAGGTACAAGCACCCCGAGACCCCAGGGTGAGAAATCTGGTTTGGGCAATATGTCATACATCATGTTAAATTAATACCGTCAATGGGAATTTATTGTTTCTTGCTTTATTTTCATTCAATCTGTGACTCTGTTTGGGTTTTATATTCGTTTGAGGGCTGTGAGCATACACAGTTGATTACACTGAGCTATTTGTACATATTTGAGTAACAATATAATAAAAAGTCATTCAAGGCCAACAGGAGTTCAACAGAATATTTTTCCCCTTTCAAGGAGGTCTGGCAGTACACAGCTGCAGCTCGAGGAAGGTGGTGACAGAGAGTCCACGTCAAGGAACTGGGGCCGAGAGCAATTGCCCCAGGGTGGGCAGGGAGTGGAGAGCTCCGAGGGGCAAATGGGCCGGGGTGTGTTCCTGGCTCCTCCTGCCTCACAGATCTGGAAGTGGGCACCACCGGGCCCATTCTAAGGGCAAGAGCAGGGGGTGCAATCCCTCCCTCAGGGTTTCCAGAGTTGCCACAGCCCAGGAGGCCGCTGTGTGGTGGGGAGAGGAAGTGAAACCCAAGCGTCTTTTGCCCCCTGGAAGACGCTCTAGGCACAGCATTCCATTCTGCTAGCCCTGTGGTTTAGCCTCCCTGTGCCCCAGACTCTAAGCAAGGTTAGTCACAACCAGTCACCAGTCACAGGAAAATCTCAGCCTCAGGCCCGAGAGCCCAAGGCAGGAGACCAGCCCAGCCTGAAGTCATCGGAAAGGCTGCTCTGAGGAAGATGAGTGAGGGCACACAGGTCAGAAACAGACGAACAGAAGAGCACTCTGGCGAAAGGGGCTGGCTGGGGAAGGACCTACAGCAGGACGGGGCATGGCCCACCCAGGACCCCAGAGGCCAGTGAGGCCACAGGAGGGGTGGAAGGGAGGTGGGGGGCAGGTACAGTGAAGTCACTAGGGTGGTGGCTGACACACACAGGTCTGATCTGCATTTGGAAGAAGCAGGTGGAGGAGGGACAGGGAGGGGAGGAAGGTGGAGAGAGGCAAAGCAGCCAGGAAGTTACTACAGTGTCCTCAGGTGTGGGCTGAGGCCCAGTGAGGCGCAACACCAGGGAGCCACTAGGCCCAGCCCCCATCAGCCTGCGGCCCCTGGCCAGGGCTGTGACTGGCAGTACTCACTCTGAGCCTGGCCTGCAGGCGAGGCCCTCTTGGCACCGGCATGCTGGATGAGCACATTGTCCTTGTCATAGGCACCACCATCCTGGCCTACCTCCACCACCTGCACCTGAGGCAGTGCTGTGTTCCATTTCACCACATACTTGGGCCCCAGGGGCACCAGGCTACTGATCTCCAGCTGGCCCCTGCCAGGACAGAGAAGATAAGCATTGACAAGCCTGCTACGCCTCCACCCAGAGGCTGCAGAGAACCTCTCCCCAGCACCCCAGCTCAGCCAGGCTCCACGCAGCCCAAGCATAAAACCTCAGGCCAAAACCAAGCCAGGGCAGAGCAGGGAGCCCTCACTGGGGCGTTGTACCAGGGTGCCCATGCCCCAGCCCCAGAGACCAGATGACATGCCCCGAGCCACCTACCTGTGGTTGGAAGGCCTGAGGGAAAGACAAGAAAGGAGCAGGTGGTTACTGTGACTGAGTAATTTCTAACGCGGTTGAGACACGCTGGGGACTGGCCACTTAGTTGCACTCTGGGATGGGGACAGCTATGGGGGCATCATGGCCGCAGAGGCCAGGTGTGGACAGAAGGGAGCAGACGGAGGGCCTGCCCCCTGGGCTGGACTTTTTGTCATCTCTGACTCTCACAACAGCCCTGCTGGGAAACTGCAATAGCAGATGAGGACACTGATGCTCAGGGGGTTAAGTGACTCAGCCCAAATTTCCCAAACTGCTTCCCCAAAAACGGGCCTGAACCTGAGCGACATGGGGGCAGGGAGTGTGTCCATCACACTGTTAGCATTTCATGGTGCCCCAGACTGGGAACTTAAGAATTGCAAATTACAGTACTTAAAGCCAGACATGGTGGTACATGCGTAGTATAGTCCCAGAATAGGGATGCTGAGGCAGAAGGATCAGGAGTTTGAGGCCAGAGTGGGCTACGTACATAGCACATTTGAGGCTAGTCTTTGCTACATAGTGAGACTCTGTCTCAAAGAAAAAAAAAAAAGGAATCACAGAACTTTGGTGAGAAAGTGAGTAAATGAATGAATGCATTAGCCACAGGCACTGCTCACACATCTATGGCAGAGGCTTCCTTGCCTGAGTCCCCTATCCAGCCCACAGCTCCTGGAGGCAGAGGCTGGGGCTGGTTCATAGCTGTCAACTGGCACAGAGTAAGGGCTCAGTGAATAACTGGTGGATGAACAGATGGACAGATGGGCGTGTATGTGTCCAGTCATCCTGCCTGCTCCCCAGCCAGGACCCATCACCACAGATGGATGCAGACCTGCTTCGTGGCTGACTCTGCAGCTCCGTGCACAACCCCCGCACCTCCTCACCCCAGCCCTGCACCCGCCAGCTGGGAGGTGGGCAAACTGGGCTGAAGCTAATGCTCTAGCAAAACTAAGAATGTTACTTTCCCCTCTGAACTTTGGTTACAGCTGCCATTGTGCTGCTTCCAGACTGTTCTAAAGTGCTGTCATACTGAGAACAGCGATTCCCCCGAGAGCCTGCGGGAAGGTCACAGCTGACGTTCTAAGGGTGCATCAGAGAGAGGGACACTGAGTGAACTGACCAGGCGGGGATGGCCAGAGCGTGAGCCCTTGTGGCCCGGGGTGTCGTGGACCCAGCCTGGGTGACTGGGTCTCCCCAGTATTCAAGGGAAGCCAACGGCCTCTGCCTTTGTATGAATCCCGTGTAAGCTGAGTGTAAGGTCCCAGCTTTCTCGGGATGAGCTGGAAGCCTGGCTCTGGGCATTTCTACACCCTCCCCAGAGCCAGGGAACCTCACTCCCTTGGGCAGAAAACACTCTGGGTTGTGGGGGCTCCAGGCAGCCTGCAGTCAGGGCAGAGGATCCTGGAGTGAGTTAACACAGCAGGGATTCTGAGTGGACACAAGAAGAGCCTCTCGAATTCCCACGTGGTCAAAACCCAGATAGCCTCAACTACCGGGGGCAGAGTTGGGAACACACAGCCCGTGCCGTGGACAGCTTTTGCCCAAGGCTGCCGCTCCATGGCCTCTCTGTCTTTCTCAGTGTTGGGGACCAGGGACAGAGCAGGCATGAAGGAGGGGAGAGAAAGGCAGACTATCTGAGACCTAAACTGAGCTCACAAGGGACCCCACTGCATATGGGCCAAACAACAGACCAGGACAAGGGACAGGGTCCCCAGGGAGGGTGACTTCCAAGGCCACCCTGCCCGGCCAGGCCCTTACTTGAAGTTGATATTGGCGCAGACCAGCATGTCGTTGAGCAGGAAGACCCTGCGCTCCTTGGACTTGAGCAGCTGCCCACGATCTCCATACACCGTCTCCGTCAGAGTCTCACATAAGAGCAGCTGCCGCTGTCCAGAGGTCAACAGCTGGGGGAGGGGGCAGGGAAGGTCAATGTCAGCATCATGGCCCAGGTGACTACAGACATCCCTAGGCCACCATATGGAGAGGGAGACTAAACTGAGAGAAGAAGCAGGAGACACCCCTCTGTCTCTGGATGACAAGACACACTGGACAGGAAGACCAGGGGGTACACATTGGGTTCTCTCCTCCAGGAGAGGCTTGACCTCCCACCTTTACCAGAGCCAGATTCAGCAGACAGTGTCCCCTTCTCAGGTGAGACAGCCACTGCCACCCCTCCCTACAGTGACCCTGTGACTGCCTTCACCAGACACAGGCTCTGGAGTCAACGACACTTGCTTTGAGCCCCAACCCACCCCCAGTCTCACAACCCTCAGTCTCCTCAGCTGCCAAGTGAGGAGTCATAACCTCTATTATCACACAAGTGACAACGGGGGATGGGTCCAGCTAAATAATTCACAAAGCCTGGTGCAACTGGGAAATGCAAGCCCTGGCTCAAGAGCTGTGAGGAATTTTAAGACCACAGACACATTAAGCTGAGCCTGGGGCTCTTCTGAGTATGGCTGGGCGGGCACAGGAGGCACTGCGTGTAGCGCACAGTAGACACACTCCGTAGAAGGCAGCTGCCCAGTGTTGCTGCTTGTGATGGCTTCTCCGTGGAAAGACAAGGCCTCTGCTCCTGTGAGGCTTTCCCTACCTCCCAGATGAGGAAACAGATTGCAGGCTGAATGACAGCCCTGGGTGGAGCTGGCTGCTCGCACTGCCCTCTGCGCTGTGTGGCTGGTACAAGACACAACAGGAGCCAAGCGAGGCCCCACTGCTACTGACTCACAGGGGGTATCGGGGTTCCACAGGGTCACCCAACACATCTATGGCCAGGCTCCCCTTATTGCTTGCACAAACAAGCCAGATGTGAACACATGAAAACCCAATTCAGACTCTGAGGACAGCAGGTCCCCCTGAGGCTAACAGGTATGCCAGGACCCACAATGGGAAGAGGAAAGTCCCCTGGGCTTCAGGCTATCATCCCCTAGTCCCTTACACAGATTTTTTTTTTTTAAAGACAAGAAAAAGAAAACCCGGATATTGCCCAAACATCCTTCTGGAGGCTCCTGAGTCGGCTATTTTGAAATAGCTGCCTGGTTCAGTTTCGGGATACACCCAGTTTCGTTTCTGCTTTTCTCTGGGTGGCGGTGAGAGGATGGTCACTGGCTGGGACGGAGCGCCCCAGGGGTAGGGGACATGGTGTGTGGCCATCAACGCACTCCCCACAATAGCAACCCACACCTGTCCTGCTCACCCTTCACTTGCTAGAGGGAGAAACTGAGGCTCAAAAGTGTCCAGTGCCTTGTCTGACATCAAATGGGTCTCCTTCATGTGACTTCCAGTAAGTGCCCGGTCTCCAGGGAGTAGAGAGGAAGAGAACTGGCAGCTCTTCCCTGGGCAACACCAAGGGTATATTTCTGCCCCAGACTTTCTCTCCCCACAGCAGAGCGACGTGTGTGAGCCAAGGAGGAGAAAGCCTCTACTTACGGCACAGGCAGCTGGAGGCAGAGGAAGGAGAAACCTCCCAGCACAAACACCAGCACAGGTGGCCACAGCAGACTGAAGCCTTTCCCTCCAGAGATGGTCCAAACCTCCCAGTTCTGGGAGGCAGGGCTGAGGCCATGACCCCTGTCCCTCAGGCCACCCTCAGCGATCCTGGATGGGAACATCCCCCAAAGCAGGGCTCTATTCTCCCTGTCTTCTTCCCCAGCTATCTGCTCCTGGAGCAGGTGAGGTAAACCCAGATGCCTTCAGGCCAGCAGGTAGCGCTAGTGGGAAAAAAAAGTGAGTGGGGACTAGGGGACATGGGTGGCCACTCTCAGGTGAGTAGTGCCATGTGCCAACTCTTGCGACCCTTCCAGAAGGCCCACTAGTCATTAAATGTTGTCACCTACTTCCATATTCTTAACAATATTGCATGGGCCTCAAAGCGTGAATGGGGCCTGAGCTAGAGAATCCTGAGGCAGACACCTACAGCTCAGAAGGGCAAGGACCTCCCACTGACCTGCCTCAGCCTTTTCAGGGTAGCAGTGAAAGTCAAAGATGGCAATGCCAGCTGGAGAGCTCTGTACTGGTGAGCACAGTGCACATGGGAGGGCTGCGTTCCTCCCGGCCATCCTCCCAGCACTGGGTATCCCCTGCCACTGAAGTCCCCTCCCAGGAGTAGCCAGTTGCCAGCTTCAGTTCTGCCTTTGGGACCCTATAGAGCCAGGGATCTCCTGGGTTTTCCCCAAAAGATATGAGCACCTCTTATGGCCCCACACAACGTCCCCTCCCCAAAGACAGCCCTCTAACAGGCTGGGGCAGGCTGGGGCAGGCTGTCTCACCCAGAACCATCCATCCCGCCTGCCTCCTCCAGTGAGCAGGTGGGATGGATGCAGAGGCTGCAGACCTGGGTGCAGGATGTGAGTCTCCTGCCAAGGAATCAGAGGGACTGCAGTTTACAACAGGTGACTGGGGGAGGTGGCCTTGTGTTTAAAAACAGGTTCTCTGCACATTCATCTGCAATTTTCAAGATTCTTTTACTAAAATGTGCCTGCGGGCAGCCCCAGAGCACAGCGTGGATTTGGCACCTCTCTCCTCTGATTAAGGGCTCTCAGGAAGCTGCTAGGCCAGCCCCACTCAGTCCCTCACCACGGCCCTGGGCAGCAGGTGCTATTGAGCTCTCCCTGTTTCAGAGGAAGCAAGTGAGGTCCAGCAAAGTTGGAGCAGTCCCCCAAGCTTTAAACCCAGATTCCAGAGTCCTCTTGGCCAATGCAATATTAGGCTTCCGTTCCTGGAGTCATTTTTGGCAATGACACCAGTGGACACAACCTACTTTTACCCTAATAACATGAATAGCAATTAATGTAGGTCCCAGGAGAGAATCTGAGTTCAGGTCCCTGGGGTGAGAGAAGCAGGGACATCCCTCCCTCAGAGAGCACTGCCACCTACTGGGTGACCCGGGGCAGAGGCAGGAGCTGCAGGTGGGAAGGCCCACACTCACCTTGCTGAGGCTGCTGCGGTCACTGACGCTCTTGGTCAGCTGCTGGATCTCAGCCACCTGGTCGGCCAGCCGCTTCTGCTCGTTCAGCTTCTCAGCCAGCGTCTCCAACTCTGTGAGGGCCAGCTGCAGTGACAGCCGGTCGGGGTGGCCCCTGGGGGTGTTCTTCAGCATGTCCTGCCAGCCAGAGAGAGCCAAGACTGGGACCCCTCACATGCAAACACCCCCTGACCTGGGGTCAAAACCCCACCCTTCACATGGCCTACACAGACCAGGTCTGAAGGGCACAGCTTATAGCTGGGACAGAAGGTACTGGACATGGAATAAGGCCTTGAGAAACGGCTAACGAATGAAGGCAATAAAAATATTGAGGTGTGCGTCATTCTGGATATGTGCCCAAAAGATCTAAAATCAGCCAGGTCTCCAATACCTATTTGTCCACCCACATTCACAGCAGTAGCCAAAACGAGGAGGGTCACTGAGGGATAAAATGGTAAGCACAATGTGGTTTCTACATACAACAAAACATGAAGGGAAGGGAATTCTGACACGGGCTGCAACACAGACGAAGTTTAAGAAGCATTATACGAAGTGAAATAAGCCAGGCACAAGGACAAAGATGCTTCCTCTTAGAGGGGCTCCTAGAGCAGCTGAATCCATAGACACAGGAAGTAGAATGGTAGCGGCCAGGGGCTGGGGGAGAAGGGAGTTGGGAATTATTGCTTCATGGGCACAGAGGTTTGCTTAGGGAAAAAGACAGTTCTGGAGATGGTGGTGGTGACGGTTGTACAACGTGAATGTAGGTAATGCCACAGAACTGCATGCTTGAGAATGGTTAGGATGGGGGTAAATACAGAAGTGTGTGAGTCAGGACTGACTCACTGATAAACAGTGAGCTCAGGTCAGAGCCCACTGCTCAGCCCGGACACACTGCAGATAGAGGTGAAGATGCTGCCAGGCTCCTCAGCCTGGCAGTCACCTCTCAGCTCCTGAAGGAGACCACCCCTCACTGAGGACTCTGGGCAACACTGTCAGGGCCCTGTATAGGACTGATGCTCTCTTAGGCATCCTGGGTCCAGACTGAAGCCAACGCCTGAGCAGGAGAAGCTCTCCACATACTGACTAAGGAGGAACCTGAAGGTCCTGGGACCCTCATGGCTGTCATTCCCTTCCTGCCCTGGGCAGAGGTGCAAAATATAAAATGGAATGTGAACGGCTCCACTGAAGGAGGAAGATGAGACCAAAGCCCCACAGTGGTGAGGGAGTCATGAATGAGCCCCAGCCCCAGCCTCCCCAGGAGGCCCCCACCATCTATGGCCACTCCCTGAGGGTCAGCTGGAGGTCGGACCCCAGAAGTACCTGAAGCAGGAGGATAAACTGTGGGAACCTCTGAATGGGTTTCACCATTAGCCCATAGAGGGTGACTCGGTCTGTGCTGCACACCTGCCGCCGCTGTTGGGGACAAGGTCACATCATTCACTGACCTTCTGCAGAGGACCCAGGCCCCAGAACCCTGCTCCTCTGGTGGTCTGAAAGAATAGCTGCATGAGGTCCTGGACCTGCAGCCAGGGGTTCCAGCCTCCATGCTCCGCACACCCCACATCCTCAGGAGGCTGGAGTGGCCACTGTAGGTCGCTGAACCAAAGGCAAAACTGGGAGCATCAGCCATTTACTCCCAAGGTCAGACTTCTAGAAGGAACCAAGACAACCATTCCTTCTACTTAAACTAAAAGCAGATGGGCCCGGGCCACAGTGAGGGCAGACACCTGTTCTGTCTCTCACATCTGCTCCTACTACTTCATCAGCACCTGTCACCTGAGTCCTGGCCACACCCCCTGCAGCCCCATAGCTTCTCCACTGGCCTGCACTTCCACCTGCCCTAGCTCAAAACTCTTCAGTGGTTCCCCAGTGCCTGAATACTCTTCCAGCCCTGGGGTCTGCAGATCCAGAATGGTCACACTAAACTTGGTCATCTCTTGACCTTCTTCCCTTGGATACCCCATCAGGTACCCCATATATCTAGAATCAACTCAGACCTGCCCACTCCCATCCTCCTGCCTCTAACTTTGCCCCCATCCTTGCACTTGGAACACCCTCTTCCACCACTCCCTGCCAGAACCTCAGTCCTCCTCACTGGGGCAGTGCGGTCCTCTGCTGAGGCCACCACACTTCATCCACCCATGTCCTCTGCCAGACACCAGCTCCCTGTGGTCAGGGCTCTTTCTGCCTCACCTGCTGCTTTCCTAGGGACTCTGGGGAGCCTGGCCACAGCTACTCACAGACCCTGAAGCTTTTTAAAATCTTTTTTTTTTTTTTTTTCAGAACTGGAAGGTTGAACTTGGGGCCTTGCACTTGCTAGGCAGGAGCTTTACTGCTTGAGCTACAACTCCAGCCCTTTTTGTTCAGCTTATTTTTGAGATAGGGTTTTGGTGTTTTTCTTTGTTTTGTTTAGTCTTGTTTTGGGGGGCCAGGCCAGCCTGGACCCTGACCCTATCTGTGCTTCCCAAAGTAGCCAGGCTGACAGGCATGCACCACCACACCCAGCTATCAATTGAGAAAGGATCTCATGAACCCTCTCCCACCCGACTCAGGCTGGCATCAAATTATCCTCCCTATCTCAGCCTCCTGAGTACCTAGGATTACAGATGTGAGCCACTAGTGCCCAGTTTCCAAAATCTTTAACCTCAGTCCTCCCAGGTGACTGCCACCCAAGACTTGGAGGACCTCATCCTTTACAAATGAGGAACCCTGAGCCCCAGCCTCAGCCCCAGTCTGCCAGAAGCCCCAAGCTACAGGGCTCACCATGGCAGACCCACCTGCACACCAGCAGATGGTCCAGGTCTGCCCTCCAGCCTGGCAATGCTCAGGACCCCGCCCCCCCCCGCCCCCACTGCCTACAGACCTTTCCACTTTTTCTCACCCTCCTCCTGGGGCAGGAAGGAATGATTTCTCCCCATGGGATTACGGTACCCCCAAAGAAACCAGGCAAGTGTCTAGACCACAGCCATGTCATCACAGCTGATGCTAAAATGGACCTCCCTCCCTAGCAGCCTCCTCAGCCCTGCCCCAGTCAGGGACCTAGACTGCCAGGGTTACCTTGAGGAACTCGAGGAACGCTGGCTTGGTGAGACAGGCCTTCTTAATGATGGACATGGCATTGGTGAAGTTGTTCACATAGTCACTGTACACATCCAGCACCATGGACTTGGAGAACTGCAAGGAGTCAGGCATGGGCAGAGGCCACATCAACTCAGGGAAGAAGAGGACAGCACTTACCCCACACTCACTCAGGCCAAGCTTCTCTGACAGCATAGCTTATATGACCTCAACAAACCCTTGAGGGGAGCAGAACTGTCACCCCGTTCAATCAGGATCCAAAGAGGTAAGGACTCCCCCAATTTTACAGGGACAAGATGGCCACTATTCACAGCAGCCCAATCCCACAGGCAGAGGGAGGAGAAAGGGGCAGCAGACAGGGACTTTACTCATACTACATTCATTTTCTTACCATGTCCACCCTTGAGGATGGAGCCCCTGACCTCACCTGGGCCATGCGTCCAGAAGTGAGGTGCAGACAGTGGGATGGCCTGTAGCCACCCCATCCTCTTATCCCAGCCCCTTGGACACACTGACCAGAACATCACATCTGTTTAGTGGACCTATTGAGCATTGTGGTTTTCAGAACAATCTTTTTCTTTTAGCAGAACTCAGTGCCCTAAAGCAAGTCAGAGTGGAGCTCCCCTGGCTTGGTCCTCCCTGCCCCCTTGAATCTCTGTGGCCCATGGGTTCTGGTTTAAAAAGCACCCTCCCTCATTCCATAGGTAGGTCCAGAAGGAGGCCTTAGACATGCCTGGGTTTGAAAATCCAAGCCAGGATCAGAACCAAGGCTTCTGGACCATGACCCAGGATTCCTTCTCCAATCCCTCTGGGGCCTCCTCCTGATGCTATGAGCATGGTCTGGGCCACCTTGCCCAGCAGTGGCCAGTTACACTTAAGTGCTTGGAAAGGGAGCCTGCAGCTGCCCACAATGACTGGAGGCCAGTGGTCTCCTGGGGGTACTTCCATCTAGGCAGAGACAAGCCATGCCCTAGCCCCAACAGCCCCACAGCCTGGGAGACCTCTCCAAGGACATCCTAGGCACTTCAAGGTGTCACACTCACCCCAGATAAGGCCAGGAAGACTCAGGGGCCCTGCCATACTCTGACCCCATTGACTTGGACAAGCTGGCCAGGCAGAGACTGGACCAGATGACCCCGGGGGTGAGGCCAGCAGCAATTTTACCTAGGTAAAAACCTACCGAGGCTACAAAAAGGTCCCCGATCTTCTCGGTGGAGTCCCACTCAGCCACACGAGAGGACAGGGCAATCTGGAACATGGAGTGACAGTGCAGGATCTCCCTCACGCGGAAGAACACCACCTGGCACTTGCGGACACTCAGCGCCTTGGGCTCCATCTCCATCAGAGGGTTGCGGTAATCCTGCCAAGGGCAGAGATGAGGCCAGGTACCATTCCACATTCCACACATACCCCTGCCTCAAAGCAACCCAGCCAAGGTCTTAAGAACTCGGTAGACCTGGCAGGCCTTCCTGCTGGGCAGAGAGGCAACCTTCACTCCTCCGTGTCCTTCTGAGGGGCTCTCCATGAATGGAACACTCCTGGCCTCTCCACAACACCCAGGACTTCTGTGTTATACTGAGTTGGGAGCAAGAAGGTGTCTTCTATGCCATCTGCCTGCAAGGAGCCTCACAGAGGCAGCTCAAGGGCAAGGCTGGCCGGCTGCAAATGCTCAGAACAGTGAGGTCACTGTAAGCACCCTTTGCTCCCAGACCCAGCATCGCCCTCCCCAACCACCTCTACAGAAACAAGGACATCATTACCCCTCCTGCCTGACACCTGGGCTCTCACTTAGAGGGGAAGGAGAAGAGAAGGGTGTCACCAGAGACACAGAGCCTCACAGAGGCTCCGCTGGTGGCCTCATTCCAATACCCTAGAAGGGTCAAGGTCTCAGGGTTTCAAACCACAGACCAAGGTGGCACACCTGTCATGTCACACAGCATCTGCTTAGCAATCCCTGGGCATCCCAGTGTGAGAAAGAAAGGGTATCCTACCCCACCCCTGCCTGGGGAACCCCAAGGCCCCAGGAGCTCCCAGAGTGACAAGGAAGACATAGTCCCTTCCTGGCACAGAAGACCACAGCTGCAACTCTCATTTCAGAGAATCCCAAACTTCAGTTGCAGAAAGCAGCTACTCCTGTGAGCACTCAAGCCTTGATGGCCCCATAAATACAGCTGGCTTTGGGCCCCTTCCCCTTAAAGCTGCCACAGTCCCCAAATGCTTCTTGTAGGGTGTCACCCTGAGGCCCTCCATGTACTTGCTCCCGGAGACCCTTAGAGCCCCCGAAGACACACCTGGAGTATCCGCTTCAGTGACTCCACGTAGCTGCCTTCGCTCTGCACAATGGAGCCCAGGATGTGCCTCCGGACCACCTGCTCAGGCCAACAGCACAGTCAGCATGTGGAAAATCTACTGCACAGGGCCAGCGCCTGCCGTGTGCAGGGATGGGAAGAGGAGCTGATGGCTATAGGACACGGGAGCCTGGGCCTCCCAAAGCCACCTGCAGAACCACCTGCCCAGATGGAAGAACTGGGGAGGAGGGTGGTGCTCCAGCACAAGCCCCTGCTGGCCTCCATTTGCACACATCTGGGGACAGGGAAGTGAGAGGTGTCCGATTCTGTCTCTGGACAATTCTACTACAGATCCTTTGTTAGACCAAAATGAACTCTCATTCCCACCTCTGGTTTAGATGATACCCTTGGGCAGCCCGTCTTCTGCAGGACAGCCCTTGGGGGATGCCCTTCCCCCAGGTGGTCTCTGTCTTGGGCTAAATATCCCAGTCCCTTCCCTTTCCTGCTCTCCTGCCCCATCTCCCAGCCCACAGAGGGGATGGTGCCCTCAGCTGCAGCTGCCCAGCACCAGGTCAGATACGGTGTGATTTGTGCCTGCAGCCCTAGGCAGGGCAAAGTGGTGGGTCTCAAACTTTGCTGTCACTTGGCTCCCACCCAATGTGATTCCGTTGGTACAGGTGTGACCTGGGCATCGGCCTTTAAATCTTCCTAGGTGTTAGTGTACAGTGAAGCCATGGGAACCCACAGAGGTGTCTAGCTGGGAGGGTGATCCTCACTCTACCCCACACTGTTCTGAGAGTGTTGATCAAGTCCGCCCGACCATGGCCACAGTTCTGCTCCCTCCTCCAACTCCTGCTCCTCTCCTCCCACTATCCTGATCATGACCCACACAGCCACAGCAGATGGGCAAGGTCACTGTCCTGTAAGCTGTCCCACAGCTGGAAGTAGCACTGACAATCCTCAGGAGTTCAGGTGGCCCCCATGGCAGAGTTCCAAACCTCAGCACCTGGACTTGGGCTGAGTAACTGTAGGGGCGCTGTCTGTTGCATCCCCAGATGTTCATCAATTCCCTTGGCCTCTGCCCACCAGATGCTAGTAGAACCTTGACCTAAAACTGTCCCCAAACGTTGTCAGATATCCCCTAGGGGGCAAAGAACACCCTCCATTGAGAGCTGCTGGCCTGGAATAACCAGAATGCCTGATCCGGAACTGCAACAGGCCACCAGGAAAGAGCAGCAGCAGCCCACAGCAGGAGGACGAAGAGGCCTGGATGGTGAGGGGGGAAGACTGGGGTCTGCCTGGCTCTCTGATAGCCACCAGCCACACTGGGGCAGAGTGTCACTGTCCCAAATGCTGTTCGGAGGAGGACAGACTATGAACAAGGAAGGGAGGGTACAAATCACCGGGAACCCAACAGCAAGCGTCTGAGAAGGCACATCTTCTCCTCCACCCCGGCCGATGGCTGCCAGCAGAAATGGGGGCCAGTGTGGATCTGTCCACCCAAGACCACCAAACCCTTTACACTGAGTTTGCTGCTGGATACATTTCACTCAGTGTCCTTGGAGCCAGACGGAAGCAGGCATTTCACACCCATTTCATGGCTGTCAAAACTCAGACTGTGAGGGGAAAAATTGTGACTTGGCCAAGGTCCCCAAGCACAGCTGCCCAATCTCACTGTGATGCTATGAGAGAAGGACATCACTCATAGAACTACAGCTCCTGGAAGAATCTGTTGACAACCCAGAGGCCCTGGTGTACACAGATGGACAGAGGGTAAGGATTGGTACCTGTCCCCCCCAGAAGTCTTCCCTAAGTCACGCTCTTCAGCCTTTTCTCACCACAACTCCTTCTTCAAGTGACCTCAGTTGGAACCTGCTCTGGTTAGTAGGGGTTCAAACATTCCAAATGCTGGGATCTCACCATCCTCCAGACCAACAGTACGAAACCCACAGGGCCCAGTTCTCTGCCAAGAGCCCCCAGCTGATACTTCCTCTTCAGGATCTAGACAGTAGGTTGTGACCGCCACCCACCTTCCCCTTCCCACAGAGATTCCCATCCCCTACTCCAAACAGACCTGCTGAGGGCTCAGGCCATCCGGCATGGGGCCCAGTTCTGGGGCTGGGGGCTTGATGTCTGTCACACTGACCTCCAGGAGTCCCATGTCCTCCTCTTCTGAGTCACCTGCAAAGCCAGATGGGCTGATGACAAAGCTAAGATGGGGTCACCATGTCCTGTTCAGGTCCTAGGAGCTGAGAGTCACCCAGAGCAGCCCTGGACTCCCGGTCCCTGGGCCATGTGGGGTAAGAGCCAGTACCCTGGCTCCCCACACAGCACCCACTGCTACACACAGGGCCTGGAATAATCCATGAGCACAGATGTGGGAGAGAGGGAAGAAGGAGGAGGAAGACAGCGAATGAGTGAGAACAAGAATAGAAAGCAGCATCTCATCCCACAGGCCTGGCTCTCAGACTCAGCTCTGCCAGAAGTCACTGTCCCTGCTCAGACCCTCCTGCTCCTGCCGGTTAAAGGCCAGCTGCCCATGTCCCCATTACTGAGCACTAAAAATAGATTTCTTCTGGGTCCCTAAGAGGGGGAAGAAAATAAACCCTGAAAAGACCAGTGAAGTTTGGCTTTGCACTCTCATTTTAAAAAAAAAGCAAAGACCCAAAAGAGAAAACATTTGGCTGGATGTGACAGAGAATCCCAGGCCGGGGTGAAGGCAGGTCCCTGACTGGGACAGACAGGGGCCCAGGCCTCTGAGAGAAAGAGAGCCAGTCACGGTTCAGCATGGTCAGTCCTTGCAGAGTTCTAGCCCCTTTCAAGAGAGGCTCAGGTCCCGAGAGTGGGCACCCCAGGCACTCAGTTGCTCTGGCACTGTGGCCACTGTAGGAGGCAGGGAGTGGCTGCTGTGGGGAGGCTGGGAAGAGAGAAGTGGCAGCAAGCCGAGGGACCAATGGCACAGGGCCACCCAGGCAGGCCCTTACCTGAGCAGGAGACAGAGGAAGAGGAGGAAGAGGGACAGCGGACCACGGCGTGGGGGTGGGGGTGGTGAAGACCCTCCTGCCTGGTCCACATCATGCCCCAGGCATCACTGCGCACCCACCCCAGCTGCCGGCACCGCGGCTTCCTCTTCCCCCACGCGCTGCTGGGTAGCATTCTTGGCCTGTGATCTGAGCCCTGCCAGGCTATTAATAACGCCTTTGTGGGAGGGTCACTTTAGGAAAGGCCCCGGGTGAGTGGGTGGAGTGGGGACAGTGTCCCAGAAACAGTCCCCAGCCATGTGACCAGTTTGCCCTCGTATAGTCCAGTGCTCCCCAAAACAGACAGGTATGGCCTTGAGCAGAGGAATATTCCAGCATGGCAGGTGCCCACTCCATTTAGCACTACAGCCGGTGCCTGGGGTGAGGGATTCAGATGAGAGATGATGAGAGATGATGATCCTGCTACTCCAAGAGGGGAGAAACTGGGCGAGGTCATGGCCAAGAGGAGGGAGCTAGAAGAGGACCCAGTTAGCATGATGACATCCTGGCACCAAATTCCTGCTCTTAGGGCTGACCAACACAGAGAATAACACCTGCCATGCAAGCAAGCTCTTTCCACACTGCCTCGGTCAGTCATCCTCACCAAGGCCCCGGGAGACAGACGCCATTATTAGGCCCATTGTAGGAATGAACCAACTGAGGGAAAGAGAAGTTAAAATGCAGAACTTTGCAAGAGAGCACCAGCTTTCCAAGTTCTCCCTGGCTTGGAGCCTGGGTTCCTTCGCTACACCAGGTGGGTGGGAGGCCGACCTGCCCCAGATAAGGCCTCCTCTGACCCAAGGCCTGGCACCCTCAGAGCTCTGTCAAGACAACACTGACCACCAGCCCACTGTCCTGGCATTTCCTGTCTCCGACTATTTTGTGGCCCCAACATGAGTGGCACGAGGCTGAACGGGATATTGCTTGGATCTGTGCCCCCAGTGCATAAGAACCTTCCAAGGGTCCCAGCCTGGGAGAAGGGACCCTGATGGGGACCAGGAGCCAGGGGTGAGCCTCAGGGGAGTAGGGGCAGCCAGGGAGAGTGGCCAGGCAGGGAGGAAGGCCAAAGAGGAGGATGGAAAGGTGAGTATGTGGGCAGGGGCACAAAACCTAATGGAGGAGCCTCAATCTCCTGCCCTACAGCATGTCCTGTGATGAGGCCTTGGGCCAAGGGCATGGGACTTGCAGCCCTGCTCAGTGCCTACAGAAGACCTGTGAAAGCTGGAAAGGCACAGGAGCTGAGCCAGGGGCACAATAAGCACTGTGGGCCTCTCATCAGCCTCACCACCCCAACAAGCCCTCCTCCCCTCCCATTCCTGTGACTCATTCAAATGCTGAAATGCCACCACACCAGAAGACCTTCCCACTGCCACACTCCATCAGTTGCTCTTTTAGTCCCTTCTCCTGGCTCAATTTCTCTCCCTGAGTTCCTATCACTACCTGTCAATTTATCGGCTCACTCCCCTTCGCCCTGATTGGAGCACCAGCTCTGGGGAAGGACTCTTATCTGTTCTGTGCTAGTCCCCAGATGTTAGGACAGATGCTAGCACACAATGGAACTTTAAAAAATGTGCTGAATGAATGAATGAACAAATGAGCAATTGATCAAATCCAATCATAGGACACTTCTGCCTAGAGCCTCGATGACCCTCCAATGTCCTTAAGGTGACGGGCAAATGCCCACTGCACCAGGAGCCCCTGGAGGAAAAGCTACTGAATTCATCTTGGTGTCTTCCAAGCAGTATGGAGCATGGCACTTAGCAGGTGTCTACAAAGACTAGCTGGTTGGAGGGATGGGTGGGTGGATACAGGTATGAATAGAAACAGTCAAGATGAGGCCAGCTGAGCCAGGGACAAGAGGTCAAGGCAGCCAGGACCACGAGCAGGGGCCAGGGTACTGAAGGGAGGGGCCCCACCAATCCCAGAAGAGGCTGCCCATGCCTGCCAGAGGATGGAAGCAAGCTAGGACCAACCAGGACATGTGAGGTCTAGTGCCCCCCACCACCGTAGCAGCACCCCACCCAGTGTGACCGCCTCACCAAGGACATCCTTCCGGTGCAGAAAGGAGACTTTGCGCATGACGGCCATCCGTGTCTTCTCCAGCCCATCCCTGGTCCCACTCTTGGCGGCCTTCATGAGCTGGGTCATCTGAGCAAAGGAGAGGGGTCGTCAGAGAGGCTGAAGGAGGGCTGGGGACATCTGCTTCCGAGAGACCTCAGCCCTTTCCCACTGTGACGGGGAGCAGCAGAGGCCAGGAGCGACAGTGGGGGAGCAGGTGTGTTCATGCCCCCAGGGTCTCCCTGCAGGCAACAAAAGGTCCTAACCCATCGGCTTCCTCTAGGACAAGCTATCTGCACAAGTGTCAAATTAAGGAGATGGAATGAGGAAAAGGGGTGGAGTCCTGGACCTGGGTTCAAATCCCAGCTCAGCCACTCCCCAGCAAGTGGACAAGTTGCTTCACCACCCCGAGCCTCAGTTTCTCCACACAAAACTGAGGTAACAACAAAACCTCTGGGTCAGGTCCAGGAAAGGGTCACTGAGAGCTGGCCTGATGCCCTGGGGTGGGGACTTATTTCAGGGGCTAATAACAGGAAGCGAGTACTGCCCCATGTCTGCTGAGCCCAGGTGAGAAGCCCACCCCTTGCCACCCCCTGCCCCCTGCCACGAGCCAGGATGCTTTCTGAGCTGCTGCTGGAGGAAGGAAAGCTGAGGTTGCAGGGAGCAGGATGCCGTCTTCTTGGTGGTGCTGACGTAGCAAGCCAAGCAGGACACGAGGCACGAAGAGGGTGGCATGCCTGAGAGGGGGAAGCGGGCAGTCCGGGCACTGAGGAGAGCTACTATCCTCTATTCCCTCTCTGTCCCCAGTCCCAGCCCTGGCACCTTCTCAAGCCCACAGAGGCCCCCGTGACCACTGAGTGCTTGCAATGTACTGCTGAGATCCCTGATTCTGTTTCATTTTAATTAATTCCAGTGGAAATAACCATGTGGCCATGACGGTGGTGGTTCAGTTCCCGGAAACCCCCCATCCTCAAACTCTGAAGGGGGTGCCCCAATCTGGGGATGGGGGTCTCTGGCCTCCTCTGGCCTCAATGTCAACCCCACTGTCCCTAGATCCCCAGCTGAAGGGCCACGCACTTCTCAGAGGTCTGGGAGAAGAAAGCTGCCTGAAAAGTCGTGGGGGCTGTGGCTGCAGAGGCCATACAGGGTGGTGGCTTTTCAGGAACAAGGCTGGCTTTCTGGAAACAACCACAGATGCAAAAGGGAAGAGGGGCCCCAGCAACCACCACCACCTCCACCCCTGCTTGCATCTGTTGCGCAGGGTCCTTGATCTCTCAGCGGGAGAGGCATGAGCACTCAAGAATCTAACAGGGAGACATATGTCAACTCCAGAACTGCACACAGATGCTCATCTCCTCCAGGGGACATCCTCTTCTGGGGAATCACACCCCATGTGGGAAACCTCTGTTCCTGAGCCCAGTTCCTGTCCTGGCAGAAAGCCATCAATGGGACCCTTAAAGTGTCATTTGGGGGAATCATCTGAGGCCCTTGCTTGGCATTTTCCTAAGCAAAGGAAGAGCAGAGAGAAACACCTAGAAGGTTCCCTGAGTCAGCCTGGCCTCCTGAGGTGTCTACAAGTGTCCCTCCTCTCCCTCCTCCTCCTCCTGGGGGCTCAAGCTGTAATGCAGTGGGCAGGGCTGCAAGGATAGGCCACACTCAGGATCTGCCACTGACTGCCACTGTCACCACCAGCCAGCACTTCACTGGCCTGCTGCTAAATAATAGCGGAAAGACATTTATCCCCAGGATGCCAGGGGGACAAGACAGTCAGGCACAAAACAGTAACAGTGGGCACCATCCACTGAGCTCCTACAGCCAAGCAACATACCAAGCACCTGCAGGCCTGATCGTCCACCCTATGTCCTCCCAGGACCACTACTGCTGACATCCCCATTTCTCAGGCAAGGAAAACCAGGCTCAGAGAGGCCAAGGTGACTGCCCAGGATCAAGCAACAAGGGAGTGGTGATACAGGACTTGAACCCAAGTCCCCAGGCCTCCACAGCCTATGCTTGTGACCAAGACACAGAGCAGGAACTCAATTAATGATACTGTCAACAGCATCATTATCCAGAGCCTCGTCCAACCTGAGTTGGTGCTGCCATTTCCCCTGCAGACTTCCTAATCCTGATCTCTGAACAGCGTGGTGGGGCAGGAACATCCAATGTCACCAACACTTGTATTTGCAAAGTGTAACCCAAACCCATTCACCCTGGTTACTAAACATACAGATTCCTGGGCCCTGCCCCACACCACAGAGTCAGCACCCTGCAGTGGAACTTAAGAGTCTGTATTTTGTTGTTTTGCTGAGTTTCTGTTTTTGTTTTGAGACAGGGTCTCTCTCTGTAGCCCAGACTGGCCTTGAATTCCCTATCCTCCTGTCTCAGCCTCCCGAGTGGAGCTGGGAATATAGGCATGTACATCCAAACCTGGCCAGGAATCTGCGCTTTTAGCAAGAACCTCAGAGTAATTCTGAGGATCCTAAAGTTTCAAACCCCACCCAAGACTTGCAGTGGACCATTGGGATTTCCATGGCAGGTGGGGAAGGGGGTAGGTAAGAATGAGGGTGTAAGGAACAGCTGGCCTAGGTCATTGCCTGCTGCCATGCAGATGTGAGGTGCAGCCAGGTTCTGAGTCTCAAGACCAGGCTCTGAGGCTCACACCCACCCTCCAAGGCCCAGCACAGCAGAAAGGCTCCCTCGGGACCAGGAGGGACAGATGGACAGTACCTTACAATCGCACTTGTGCTTCAGCTCCTGCATGTCTCTCCCCCCAACTCTTAAAGCCAAGATGTCTCTCTTAGTCCTGGCGCATCTCTCCTTTAGCCTAGTCAGGTCTGGAGAAAGCTGGAGCCCCCAAGCGGCCAGGCAGAAGGAGAGCAGGTGAGAGGAGCAGGCGGGACAGGGAGGAGACAAAACACAGACAACAGGGGAAAAAGGAGACTCAGGTCAAGTGGCAGATGGACCGTCAGGGCAGACAAGATGTAACATCCCTGGGGCCCAAGCAGCAATTGTGGTCAGGTTCAGCTGGAATCTGATCCAGAGGCATTCAGTACAATATGCCAGGCAGCAGCAGGTTGTGTCTCTGCCGCAGGGAATCCCGGATGCTGTGGAGCAGAGCAGAGGGAATCAAGCCCAGCACCTGCCCCCTTTCTCAGGGAAAAGGGAACGATGTTCTGAGGATGAGATAAGGACTTCATCTTCTCCCTCCCCAGCCCAACGTAGAGCTTGCATCATAAGAGTTCTCAGTGAACTTGTGAGGTGGAAAACTGGCAATGGGTGGATGGGTGGAATGGGTGGGAGATAAATGGATATATGGGCAAATGCACAGAGAGACAAATGAATGGGTAGAGGACAGTTGGACAGATAGGTGGACAACCTGCAGACAGATGAAGTGGATGGATGGACAGGCAAATAAACAGATCGGTGAACAATTAGATAAACTTGGCTGGGTGACTATATAGTTGGGCAAATGATGGATGGATGGATAGGATGGCCGGATGGATGGATGGAGAGATAGTCAGATGAGGGACTATCTCTGAAAGAATGGATGGATAGGTGGATGGATATCCACAGGCACTGCTATGCTGGTAAACAGTTAACAACCAGTTATCTAGGATAAAGAGCCTTCTTCACAGTGGTGGAAGTCCTCTACTCCAACCTGGGCCAATTTCAATCCACCAAAATGACATCACTGAATGCAGATCTTTAAAGAGATGCTTGCAGGTGGTTCTTGAGTTCTTGTGAACTTGCACAAACTGACTCCAGCACACCATGGAGGAAAGGGCAAATGAAAGAAGAGATGAGAATGGAAGGATGGATGGGTGACTGGCCTACAGGCTATCTGGGATGATGGATGGACAGCAGAAGAGACAGACACACAGTTGTGACCTGTGTGGTAAAGTACACAGAAGCAGACAAGTGGAAGACTCAGGAGTGAGCTGCAGAGGCGGGGAGGCCTGCGGGCAAGGCATGGCTCCCCACTTGCTAGCTGGAAACTTCTGCTTGCTGCTCTGAGGTGCAGCTTCCTGTGTGGTATAAAGTGGCCATAAGAACAGCTACTTCACAGGGTTGCTGAGAAAATTAAATGGACAGTACATTTACAGCCTAGGGCTTAGTAAGTACTCAAAATGTAAGTCATTATTCATCTATCATTTAAATTATAAGTGCTCACATTTATTCAATGGATGGATGGATGGATGGATAGACAGAGATGGACAGATGGATGAGGTATTTTAATCCATATGTGATGTTGAGTTCTGGTTCTACTGTTTAATGGCTGTGTGACCCCTAACAATCATTAACCTCTCTGAGCTGTGGTCACATAGGTTTTCTGATCAGTAAAATGAGAATCTGACTATATGCAACACTGACAACCATAAGGTATTAGGAGATCGAATGAACTGCTTTGTGAACTGTCCCAACTGGAAGAGTGGTCACTACTTTCAAGCAAAGAAGTATGCAGGACATGATCCTCGGAGTGACCAGACCTGAAACACTGGACAGTGTGGGGTCTGCTGTACAGCCCCTGGGCCTTCTGGTGTTCCTTCACCTCTGTCAGGGTCATGAGCACTAGGAAACATTAGGGTCAGAGGTCACTTGCTGAGTTGGCCAGAATGAGGCTGAGACCAGAGCAGGTATTTCTATAATGAGCCTGCCAGTTCTGCCCAGGTCCCCAGTCAGGTCACAGTGACCTCAATTAGAAGAGGAATAAGCAGAGAGCAGAGGGGTTCCCTGCAGCCACCCCTCTGTGGGAGAAACAATCTCCCACTGACCACAGTGGCTTCCAGCAGGATCACCTGGGGACCAACAGGCTGAAGTGGCTGCTTACATTACATGTAGGTCAGGTGCTTCTAGGAGGTCCCTCTGCAAAGCCCTGGGTCACTTTACTGGCAAGAGTCTACCCACCTAAGGCTGGCCTCTCCAGACATCTGAAGGAGGAACTCCATTGGCTCTCTTACAGCTGGGCGGGGGGCCAGGACCACAGTCAGACTCACGGACAGGACAAAACATTTCCCCGGCACTTGCTGCCCAGTGTCCCACAGTGCACACCACACGCAACACACAGCCAGGCAGCGGTGACCAAACATGCATCTGCATCAATGCCAGGCAGGGGAGCAGGTGCATCTGAAAAACTCAGGAGGGCAAACCCCCCGGGCAGAGCTCAGAAGGGTCCCTGGGCAGAGGCAGAGGTGGACAGCAGAGAAAAAAACCCCTTGGAGTGCCAGCTGGTCAGGGAGTGGGTGGACCTCGGCCCGTGGGCAGAGAAAAAGTCCTTGTGTTAGAACTTCCAAGAACTGTGCCACGTGGTTTGTCTGCTGAGAGAGGAAGAGCAAGCTCAAAGCTTCAGCTTTCAGTGGTCCCCAAATACCCCCAGCACCAGGCCACAGAGAAACCAGACAGAACTCCTGAGTGCTCTGTAGGCCCCTTGCGCCCCCTGGGGGCAGAGAGTGAGTTAAAGGTAGGTTGCTGGGCTGCACCCACACTCTGAGCTAGAGTCCCTGAGAGCAAGATCCAAGCATCTGACTTCAGCTCACTCGCTACTGGATTCTGATGCCTGTGCAAGTCCGAAGACGGCTGCTGGGGAAAGTGATCCAGTATCTCCACCCCTCCTTCCCTGAGGGATGCCTATGATTCCCTCCCAGTCCCCAAGGAGAAGGTGGAGCCCAGGGAGTAACGGTGGGAGAGAAGGAGGGACCGCAGGAGGTCAAGAATCAAGCCCAGGGCTCAAAAGTCCACTGGTTACTACAAAGAACTGGGCCGAGACACAGAGTCCTACCTTTGTGTACAAAGGTGACCAAGGGGCTAGGGAACTTTATAACCTGAGCACCCCTTCCCTAAGGCAGTGCACACTGCCCCCTGAAAACACAAATCAGACACAGCCTGTCTGTGCTGGTCTGCTGGCCCTCCAGCCCACCTCCTCTGACGTCACAGCCCTCACTCACCTAACTTGGAGGCCTCCTCGCCAAGGCTCCCACCCTCGCCAGCCATGTGGCCAGGCTGGACACGCTTGTGTTTACAGAAAAGCAATTTGTCTTCATTTTTTACATGTTGTTACACATTCACTACCTCCTCCTAGACCATAAAGGTCTGTCGCAGATGGGACAGGGCTTCCCCACCCCTACCTGAGACATGGCCCTGGCACACAGTAGAGTCCCAAATGCTTTGCCTCATCCCCAGCAAGCATCAAGGCCATCTTCTGTAGCCCAGCCATAGTCCCCATACCTGAGAAGCTGGGGGCTCAGACAGATCTCTGAGCCCCTGCCTTGCCCAGGATATGGGAGCCAGTCCAGGCTGAGGAAAAACTGAAGTGCTATAGCAAGCACTTCTCCCCCAGGTGGGACCCTCAAACTCAGGAATGGCAGGAGGCACTCTGGAAGCCTTACCCAGAAGCCTGCAAGTATGGATGGAGTTGGGTACTATCTCATCCCTGCCCTACCTTCCTGGGAATAGCCCACAGACAGACCTCTCCTGCCTGTCTGTCATTTTAAAAAAGCCTGAGAGGGACCTTATCACCTCTGGTCAGGCAGGGCCTGTGGAAAGCTGCTTCCATTAAATTGAAAATCTCAGCATGGACAATTAGGTGCCTTCTGGTTGCTTCCACAGAACAGTACAGGAGGAGCAATGTCACAGGAAAGGAGGAAGCCCAATCTGTCCTTCTGCTCCAGCGGCTTCTCCATGAAACAGACAGAAGAGCCCTGCTCTGGGCAGAAACTCCAAGTGCACAGGCGCTACTCTGAAAAGCCTTGAGCAGAGGGCAGCTCCAAGGCAGCCAGCTAGCTCCCCAGGGCAGAGGGCACAGTGTGACCTGAGGGCTGGTCAGAGGACACTAGGGCTGGGGATCCAGGAGGCAGCTTGGCTAGTTGGCTGGGCTCCTGGAAGCACAGTGTTGAGAATGATTCTGTAGCCCAATCTGAGCCCAGTTGCTTGTCATGAGGAACTGACAAGGTCTGCACAGCGATGGAGTGCGGTGCTCATCCCCGGTCTGAGGCACTCCACAGCCACACAGAACACCGCAAGATCACTTCCTGTTTGGGGATGACCTACCTGGGCCTCTCGTTCCTCTCACTGCGCATTGCTGGAAACTACTTGTGCCCAGATGTTGGTCTTGGGCCTGGCCCTCACCACCCACTTATCCCTCCCAAAAGGGGTCTGGGTACCCAGGCCTTGAAAGACACCCCCAACCCCCTCACCTTGGGCTGGAAGGACCCTCGGTGCTTGGCAGGCTCTGCCTCCGGCTTGGCCTCCTCCCCTGAGTCCTCGCTGTAGCTTTCAAACTCACTGGAGCTCCAGCCTAGGTCCTCAGCCTCCTGGGGTGCCCCATCTCGATGCACATCCTCATAAAGCAGGTTCCTCTCCACCCCTGCTGGCCAGGGACAGTCTGGTGAGCCAGAGGCCCTGGCCAAGTCTTCCAGACTTGGAGCTTTGGGCTCACCTGCTAAACCCAGGTCGGGTAATGAACAGAAGGGAAGGGACAATATGGCAGGTGAATGAGGCCCTGGCCCTGGGGCACAGAAGCGATGCTGATGTCCTCCAGGTGAGGGGTGTGTGAGAAAAAGGGGGAAAGCATGAGATATGTGGCAGACACACAACAGGCTCATCACTTCTTCCTACATCCACTTCACCTCACTGTCAATCAGTGCTCATCTGGCCTCCTGGAAGTTTCTCAGTGAAAAAGAGGAAACCTCAGGGCCAAGTCCAAACTCAGGCCACCAGCATCCTCAGGTTATGATGACGAATGCTGGGGCACCAATGAGAAGATAGCCCACAGCACCATGTCTTTCTACAGGCTCACTCCCCCCAAATCTGTGTTCTTATGTGATCCAGGAGGATCCAGTAGGGGGCGTGCCTGGCCCAAAGTCCAAGATAGGTCTCTACCAAAGCCCCATAGGAAAGGCCCTGGACTGAACACTTGGGGACAGAGAGCTGAAAGTCCCCTATCTGGAGGGACAGACCCACCAGTGCACTTTTGGGGCCTTGTCAAGCCAGGTTGGAGATGTTGCTTTAAGGCTAAGGTGGAAAGCCACCTGGTCCCCAGCCCAGCTCTGTCCTGGAGAACTTGAGCTTCAGGTGGAGAAGAGCCAAGGACCTCATAAAGTGAGTTTGGGCTAGAAGAGGGACATGGGAATGAAATGCTTTTGTTGACAGAGAAGAAATGCAGCACTGGGAAAGTCAGCTCAGAAAGCACTGCTGAAGAGCGCAGAGCTCTCCCTGTATGGCCTCCATCAGAGACCTCGCTGCAAGCCAGGAAGGGGAGACACAGGGGGCTGCGTAAATAAGATATGGACAAGAAGCTCTCAGTAAGGAGCCTGGTCCACAGTGAGGACCCAGCAACAACAGATGATCATGTGTGATGGCCCTGAGTGAATCAGGTGGGCCCAGAGCCCCGCAGCTCCACTCTACAGTAAGAGCCAAGGAAGGAAACAGATGCACTGAGCCTCAGTGGGAACAACAGGGAGGTCATTTTTAAGAGAATAGTAACTAACATCTCCACAGACGGAGCAGCTGGCGCACAGGCTGTGACCTTTAGAAGACTGGACTGGCTGCCTTGCTATTAGAGTGGGCCCCATGACTAGTGCACAAAATGCAGAGCCCAGACCTTGGGTCTGCCCTGAGAAAGGCCCATGTTAGCATCTGCCAGTATGTACTCCCAAGTGTCAGAACCCCACACTCCCCACCCACCTCCACCTTCAGCACAAAGTCCCTCGCAACAGGTGCAAGGTCACCCGTCCTGTTAGATAGAAAGAAAAATGGGGCCTGCAGGATAGGCTGGCCACCAGCAGTGAGCTGGACTGGAGCTCCATTCATTTATCATACTTCCTTCTGCCAGGGACCCGCATCCCCAGTCACCTGGGGTTCATTTAGAAATGCCCCTCCAAGGGCTCCCTGAGCCTGTGGTGGAACCAAGTGCCAACCCCTCAGACTCCAGGGAGCTCACAGGCCCTCTTCCTCATGCCTCCTCCGCTACACTCAACGTGCAGGCCTAACCCAAAGCACTTATCACAGCCTGCTCGGTGCCCTGATCAGTTATCCCATGAATCCACATCACAACCTGGGGACAGGGAGGCCACTGGCCTGTTTTCATAGCTGAGTCAACAGATTAAGCAGTTGTCTGGGTGGCTCTCCCCAGAGGCCTATGAGGTCAGGATGACATTTTAGTTTTATATGAAGAAGAGGAGGCCCAAAGACACAGATACCTGTGCCCAGTCTGGCAGAGTGGGGATTCAACTATGTGTGTCCACTGGTGTGTACAACCTGCGCCTGGGCTGACAGTCTCTCCTCTGAGCTCCTGTGAAGCCCACATCAATCTCGGGCAGGCCGGTGCTGGGCTCTTGGCAGGTGTCACACGGCAGCAAGAGCCAACGGCACCTACCAAGGCGAGAGCCTAGCCCTGGGTTCAACACTCAGCAGCCCTTCCCCTGGATCCTCCCACAGTCCTGCAGGTAGGGACCCCAGGGGTGGGAATCGTGGTCCTTGGTTTGTAGGCTCAGAGCTGGGATGCAAACAGGGCAAATCCCAGGCCACCTGTTTTTAAACCGGCTCAAAGTAGAAGGACACAGACATGCCATGTTCTCAGAGCCTGAGGACAATGACAACTGGACCAAGTCCTCAGTGACTTGAATTGATTTGGGGGGAAAGCAGGATGAGCGGACAATGGCCAGCCACTTGGACCTCCCAGCTCTGGGACCTCCCAGTGCTGTCTTCCATGTCCCACCTCTCCTGGGATGAGCTACAGTGTAGTTTAAAAGACTAATAAGAATAATAAATAGAAAGAAACAAACAATAAAAATTAAAAGCCAAAGTCATTCATTCAAATCCTGGCTGTGTGATCTGAGGCTGGTGACTTAACTGCTCTGATAAAACTGAAGCCAAACATTCTACCCTTGCCTACCTACCTCATAGGGTTGACTCAACAATGGAATTCAATGTTCTCATGTGTCATAAAATGCCACCTACATCCTCCCGAGGGCTCTGGACTTGGACACAGAATGACCCAGGTTCAAATCCCAGCCTGGCCTCTACAGTCTCCTTGTCTATAAAATGATAAATTGAAGTTTTGAAACAGAGTACATGACTCAGCATACGATGAGTAGGGTTGATGGTGCACACCTGTAATCCCAGCACTGGGAGGCTGAGGCAGGAGGATCAGGAGCTTGAACCCAACCTGGGCTACATAAGGAGACTGTGTCTCAAAAAACCAAGGGCTGGTTTAAAAAAACAGTGGTAAAAACAGTTCAGTGGTAAAGGTCTTGCCTAATATTCTCAAAGCACTGAGTCCCATCCCCAGCACTGCAGAACAAATTTTAAAATTAAAAATAAATTAAATGTATACACACACGCACAAAGAGTAGCCTGCCTAACGCATCCCAGCAGAGCTATCTCTCACTGCTTGCTGTCCCTCCTCATTCCCTGACTGAGGCCAGGTGAGCTCCACCAGGACTCACCGCCTTCCCCCATCTCCCCTCCACACTCCTCTTTGTGGCTGCTGTCTCCCCACATACCTGCCCCACCTCTGTCCTTCACCAGAGCAGGGTGGTGGCTTTCCCAAACTCTAGCTGTCTCAGATTCAGGTTTAACAATCTCTCACCATCTTTGACAGGCCTTGGAAGCCCATTCTCCTGATGGGGAATCAAGGCTTGGGGAGTAACAGTGACCTCCCCAGGGGTCCAGGGCCCCTAGCCTTGCCAGACTCAGCCTGCCTACACCTGAGGCCACATCCAGACTCCACCTGGGTGAATGCAGGGGTGAGGGCAGGAAGAGGGGCCCTGGGCTTGGTAGGAATGAAAGGATCCAGAAAGAGAAGTCCTTCCCCACTCCACCCTCCCTCACAGCCCCAGAGACAGGCAGGAAGCATGAAAGAGGCTATACCTGGCTGGTGGGAATCAGGACTCTCACAGGGAACGTCGTCGTAAATCACATCTTCTTCCAGGGCAGGAAAAGTGAAGCGTTCAACTAGGAGTGAAGGGGACAGAGCACCACATGGGCTGTGGTGGCCACCAGCTATTCTCAAGAGATGCAATCTCCACTTCTCCCTGACCCCAGTCCCTCCAAGGTGCCTTCCCAGTGCACAAGAACACCCCACCCTGCACCCACAGGCCTGAACTCTGGCAGGCCTGGTCCCTGCCAACAGCACAAGGCAGCCGCACACCTGTGCCTGGCCCAAGGCCCGCCCCTTCCCTGCCAGGTCAGCCCCCGCCCCTGCGAGAGCCCTGTCCTCTCCCCCATCACCCCAGTCTTCTGGAAAGAATCATGGCACTGGCTACCCTTGCTGGACTGCTCTCTGTCTTGCAGCCTTCAGAGCCAGCCAGAGCCCCCTCTTCCTCGTCCTGCACCATCCACTCCCAAATGGCTCCAGACCTGCCCACATCTCTCCAGCTCCCCAGTTCTGGCCCTCAGGCCCCCTCTCCAGGATGGTCATGGAAGCTCCCCGCTGGTTCCACCTCACCCCAGTGAAGGGACTAAATGTGCTACATCTCTCACCTTCTGTACAGTGGGTGGGGCGCCTAGGGAGAAGGCAGCCCCGCCTTCCCTGCTTCACCCCTACTATACCTCCATCAGTCTGAGCTGCTTTTTTGCTTCTCCAGGTGCCAGATGTGCCCTCAGCCCCGAGCTCTTGCACGAGCTGGCCCCTCTGCTTGGGACCCTCTTTTCCAATAGCATGGGGACTACTTTCTTGAATATGGCTCTCCTCCCAGCAGGACCTCATCTTGGTCACCAGGATGCACCCACCGTCTGGCCCACCATGCCTGCCACCGGAGCCCGTGAGTATTTGAGGAACAGATAATGGCTGGACGTGTGATCTATCCCAGTCCATCACAGAGCGGCCACAGGCACGGCATCCCCTGGAGTAATGGTGGCCTCTTGGCTCTCAGGAGCCTGCACCAGCTTTTGGCCTCCAGGAGGCTATGAGCTCATCCCAGTGCTACCTGTGGTGGGCAGCAGGCAGGTGGGAGGAACTTACTGCGACGGGAGCTCTTCCGCTTCCAGCTGGATCGCCGGACCCCAGAGAAAGCCCCATCCACAGCATCCCCATTGCTCACCACAGCCGGCACCCTACAGGCGAGAGAAGAGCCAGTAAGCCAGCGGCCTCCAGGGGGGTCCTCGTGGGATCGGCAGGGCTGCCACGGGCAAGGGCCCCTGGGGAGACCCACAGCTGTGCTGGCCTTGGTCGAGCCACGTCCCTGCTTAGTTTCTTCATCTTTAGGAGGCATGGTAGGACCCAGCCTGCGGCTTTCTGAGGGTGTGAGGATCAGAGGTGCTCATGGTGCTAAGCTCCAAGCACTCACTACATGCCAGGCCCCAAGGCAAACCTGCTGGAGGCTCCTTCTTCCACTCTCCTACATGCAAATGAAGGCCAGGCTGTGGCAGCCTTGTCTCATGCAAGAAACAAGCACTGCAAAGCTTCCGGTGTCCACATGCAGGAGGGAGACCCTTGTCCCCACATACTTGAGGACCGGCGGAACCAGTGACTGGTTTCCCAAGGACAGATAAGCACACAGGAAAGAGTAGAGAAACCTGGCGAAGGCCACCTGGACCAAATGATCAGGCAGGTATCACCAGAGATGTCAAGGGCCACCTGCCATGCTGTGCTGTCGTGAAGTCACCTCAACTCTATGGTGTTTTCACCAGAACCCACAGCCCCAGTCTAGTCATAAGAACAACTTCAGACAGCCCAGATTGGAGGCATTCTACGACACTCCTGGGCTCTACTCAGAAATGCTCGAGCAGAAACAAACTTCCCCAGCTGGGTGGACATGAATTAGAAGGGTTTAGCTGGACGGTCTCGGCCCACAGGCCCACTTTCCTTGATAGCTATGAAAACTCAGCATCTTTGGAAGTCCCTGATCAAGCTGCTTGCCTCACTTTACCTCCATTTTCACATCTGATTTCACAGGGACCTATAGGCAGTGGTGTTGTCAGCTCATTCTGCAGACGCCATTACTGCTGGCGAGGGCTGGCTGGCACAGTCACTGGCTAATTAGAGAGGACCAGGGTCTAAAGATAAGTCTGTTTTCTTTCACAACTTGAAAGTGGAGGATTTGCATCAAAACAGTCACCAGTTCCAGGGACCCACTGTGTCCTAAGGCACCTACTCTCACCTGTGGAAACAGTATAGAATCAAAGGCCCAGGCCTAAGACTCCATTTGCAGTGCTCAGGTTTGTGTCTTTGTCAAAGTCCACAGGTTGAAATCCTCACCCCCAGGGTGACTGTCATAACTAGATGAGGGCATAGCCCCCATGAGTGGGATCAGTGCTCTTTTAAAAGAGGCCCCAGAGAGACCCCTTGTCCTTCCACCATATGAAGATACAGGAAGACTGCTGTCTGTGGTCCAGGAACCTGACCTTCACCAGACTTCAAATCCACAGGTGCCTTGACCTTAGGCTGCCCAGCCTCCAGAACTGGGAAGAGGAAACTGTTGTCCATAAACCCTCCCCACCCGCCTTGCAATCTGTGTTTGTTTGGTTTTGAGGTGTTGGGCATCAAACCCAGGACCTTGCCCAGGCTAGGCAAGTGCTCTACTACTGAGAAATGCCCCCAGTCTGTGGTATTTCCTTATAGCATCCCAGACAGACACTGCCCAAGACAAACTGCAACACCCACTCCAAGGCTGAAGTACACCCTAGCCAACGGGAAATCCTGTATAAACCTGAAAGAGGCCATGAGGTAGGCTGCAGAATTACTGGAGAGGTCAGCTAAAGAGGACCTGGAAACACTCAGAGCTCGCTAAAGCCCCAGAGAGGCTGGAGTATGTGTTTCCTAGTTGTACATTATCCAAGCACAGTGAGGGCTGGCTGGGGTCCTGGGCTAAGTGGGTAGAGGGGAGTGTCACACTGCACAGAGAAGTCACCTTCCTGCCCAAGTCACCTGCCAGCAAGGGGCATCACTGTGATTTAACTGGGATGTAAGCCTGGCTCTCAAAGCCAACTTGCAGCCCACTCCCCAGACTAGAGCAAGTGCTCCCCAGACAGACAAGCAGGGAACGGCTTCTCTGGCAAGAAAGAGGAATTAAGAATGGGGGCGTGAAGGGGGGAGAAGCGTCAAGCTCAAGGGGAGTGTGCAAGGAGACCACCGCAAGATGAGGCTGGGGTGCCTCTTCCTTCTGCCCCTTCTTGCTGCCTGCCAAGGCCACTCACCCCTCGAAGGCAGCCCCTCCCAGCTATGGTCCCAGGAAGCCACACAGGGCCCAGCTCCTCCCAGCCGGACTGCCTCTTTCTCCCTATGAGCAAACACTCCTTCTAGGCCTCCTCAAAGGCTGCAGATAAAAAGCCATAAACATAGTAAGAGGCAATTACTTCAGCTTTATCTCAGCTTCCTACACTCCTAAAGCCTCTCAACTGGCAAGGCCAAGGCCTGGCTTCAGGTTACAGGGCCCAGGTTTGCAGGTGAGGCCATTGCCGCCCACACCCCATGCAGAGGAGGGTGCTAAAGGCACAGAGGCTGCGGAGCTCAACTAGAAAGGAGAACATGGAAATGCGGCAGACAGGACCACCCCCAGCATCCCCAACCTCCAGTGTTCACTGTCAGTCAGATGTCGTTCAAGTACACCAGAAGGCCACCGGGTATGTCTCTGACCCACAGAGCTCCAAAGGCCTGTGTGTCCCAACTGCTCTCTCTGTGATAGTGGGACTACTCTATGCTGGCCAGCCCACACCCTCAGCCCCTGCAACAATGGGCACACAGTGATGACAAACACCTGCCTGGCCTGTTTTAGAGAGAACAGCATGGCCCCATCCATGGCAGCTGGTGCAGACCCTGGGTCCTCAGTGAACCTCTGGGGGAAAGGACTCTAGAGCGTCCCTCCCCAGAGGTTATCCAGGGAGAAGACCTCCAGGCCCAGAACAGTTTGAGGATTCCCAGCCAGCTGGGCCCAAACATCCAGGCGATCCAGGGTCTTTTCTGAAACAAGGCATGAAAAATATTCAGGAGGAAGGAATTCCACCCTCAGGGAGTAGAAAGGCCTGGGGTACTATGTGCCTTATAAGGCCTGGAGGCCGTGACAGCAGAAGTCTCTGTGGAGCAGGACGGCCCTGCTCACAGCATCACCACCAGAACTTCCCCCACCACCACTGACCCCCACATGCAAGAGACAGAAAAGAGGCAAAGCGGAATGCCAGCATGAAGCCTGTACCAAGTTTCTTGTCAATGCAGCATGCTTGCTGGCTGATACTGCACACTAAAGCCAAAAGGACCTTCAAGGTCACCTGGACAGAAGAGTCAAAGCCAGCCGCCCACCAGTCACTCAGGAGCTCCCAAAAGACATGAGCCCCAAGGCCCCTGTCCCAGTGACTAAGCACATGTTTTCAAAAGCTTTCTCTGGCTTCCCTGTGTGGCCAGCCCGGAGACCCACAGTGCACAGGCTGGAAGTGAAGACGCACATGCTGAAGCCAATGACCCCAGGACAAGGACTCAGCTCTGTCACATGGCTGAGTGCGTCGGGACAAGTCACTAAATGTGGAACCTTCAGCAACAAATAATTGCTTCCATTTTCTGTTGTGAGGATTAGATAAGACAGTGCAGATAATGCACTTGACACTGCTCCGTGCCTCAGTTTCCATGGCTGTGAAATGGTCAATGACAGCTCCGTCTTATGTTCTTGTAAGGAGCAAATAAAGGAGGCAGGTAATGCTCTTAGCACAGGGTCTGGGCCAGTGGCACATCTGCCCCATCCTTTCCCCCACTCCTCCTCCTGCTACAAGAGTCACCCTTCATGCCGTGTGGCCAGCCATCCCCCCCACACAGATGGCTTCCAAGACCCGGGTGCTTTTCCTGTGCCACCCTCTGGCCATCGCAAATCTACTTATTGAATAAATAGGCACAGGAAGCCCTGAAGGGGAAATCTGTGGACACACACACACACACACACACGCGGCATCCATAGCAGTCCTCAGTAGGAAGTGAGCATTAGGGACTGCCCCCCGGGAACTATCCCTGCCCAGCCTAGCTACACACAGAGGTGCTGCTCAAACCAGGCCCGAACACGTGCATGCAGCTGTCTCCCTGGCATCCTTGAGGGGCCTGGATTCAGTGGTCAGACCATGGGTAGGCACCGTACTCCCAGCAATAACTTAGCAAGAACCAAGTAGGGTGCTGGAGAAGAATACAGGTTCCCATGGGAAAATGTGCACCCTATGTAATTACGCTCAAAAATTAGTGAGCCATAGAACAGCATGTGCAATAAAACAACAGATCTATAACAAACGTTACGTGCACTGCTGTACATGCACGGCAGAGGAGCCAGACCCAAACACACATCAAGAGATTAAAGGCTGCCCTCGGCCTACCATTTTCTGTACTTTCTAATTTTTCTACAGTAAACATGTATAACTTCTACAGAAAGGAAGGAACGAGGGAAGAAGGAAAGTTATCTCGGGTAATATTAAGAATTGAAAAGCCTGGAGGCATGGCTCAGGTGGCAAAGCACCTGGCAACCACAAGGCCCTGAGTTCAAACCCCAGTACTGAAGAAAAAGAATCAATTAGCCAGGGGCTGAGCTGAGAGGTAACTCAATGGTAGAGCCTACATGTGGGAGGCCCCCAGGTTTGATATGCAGCACAATTTTCAAAAAAGAGTGATCGCCAGCACGGGGTCTCTTGTGCCCCAGACTGTTGTGGATAGACCTGCATGCTTTGGGGACAGTGATACCAAGCAGCTTGCTATCCAAGGTTTGGGTCCTTACCTCTCAGTTCATCCTCCCAACTGCCCCATCAGCTGGCTGTTATCACCCCACCTTACAGAGGGGAAACAGCCTCAGGCAGATAACCCCACGAAACAGATCCTGGGTCACATGGCTCATGTGTACAGCAGGTGGAGTCCAAACCATATCTGTGTAGGAAATGGCAGAGCCAGAGGGCTTAGAACACAGGTTCTATTTTATTTTGTTTTGTGTTTTGAGACAGGCTGTCACTTGTAGCCTAGGCTGGCCTAGCTACTGGGGAAGCTGAGATTAGAAGGATCACAGTTTGAGGCCAGGCTAGGCAAAAATTTTGCAAGACTCCATCTCAACCAATAGCTGGGCATGGAGGCACATGCCTGTCATTCCAGCTAGAGAGAG